GTTGCCGCTTGCCGCGTACTGGAAGGCTAGCGCCAGGAAGCGCCTGTCGTCCGAGATGTGCTGCTCATACCTTACAAGAGGGGCCCTTTGCATAAGGCTTCTCAAGGACGTAAAAGTATCGAACCACTTTGTGATTTATGCCTGGATGCTTGACCACCAGGCTCGCTTGATTCACCTTCCGGAAGAGAAGCATCTCCACGTGCAGCGCTCGCACATGGCGGTAGAGGACAAAGTCCTTGCCATCTCTTTCGAACACGGCAAATGGCGCGAACTTCATCGTTGCACCCGTGCCACCCGTCACGTTCACGTACACACCAAGCCCGTTGCTCAAGCTATGGATCTGGCACTCTCCAGTTTTCTGCCACTCCGTCGGATGCGGAATGCTCCACATTTGCGGGTCGAAGTCCAGGCCAACACAAGCTCTCTCCCATGGCACGGCCTTTCCGGATGGAGTAGCGCCGTTGCCGGAGCAACTCATGCCTAAATGGAACTATACAGGTTACACCTCGTTCTGAGCAGGCGAGCTGCAGCCCAGCCTGCTTGCGCTTGGCGAGATCATATAGATCCCAGCCCATTTGTAAGCATGACAAACGTGTGATGATCGACCACATCCAGTAGGAACGGAACACTCCAATCTACTTCCAATTTGGGGGTAACACACGCGCACACACACACACACAAACACTCGCAATCTCGTAGCTCTGCAAACATGCAAGTACAGCCGCGCACACAAATGCAGACACACACACACACCAAAACTCAATTATGTTCAGTGTGACAACCACCGGGCGTAGTCCCTATCATGGAAAATGCAAACAGCACAAGGCAATGCAATATATCACCCTGGGAACCAGAATCAGTGCACTTCTAATCTACTGAAGCCAGTACAAACTACAAGGTGATACAAATCAAAGGGTGAAAGACCCTGAACTACACATAGGGCGCAAAATCAAATCTCGCCACAAGGCTGGGCAGTTGATGGAGCCACCTGTTTGGGTCGGTATCTCAACATGCTCGCCTAGGCTGGGATCCAACGCCACTACATTCCCAGCTGTTGCCGAATTGTGGGTGTATGGGGCCCTCGTTCGTGTTCAAGTGCCATCAAGCTCCCCTTGCAATCAACTGGGGTGGAACATGGTGTGCCCAGCCAATGCAACTTATGTCAAGGCCTACTGAAAGCCAGTAGCTGCCAACACCGTTGACACAAAATGATGCACATGGTTCACCAGGTTGGACCAAACCACTGAAACTTATTGAAGGGAACCCCTAGCCCCCCCTCCCATCTGCAGCAGCCCTGCACGACCAATTGCTGTGTTTTTCATCACCGGCCCGGGCTCCAGCTACGGCCACTGCACATTGATGCGAGCGACCCTCAGCCCACACTCCCACTAGGTGGCCACACCTTGCTTATATGGGCAACCCTAAACTTTATCAATCAACAAAAAAACAGTAATGGCAGCTCGTTTTTTTTTATAGATTGATAATGTTCTGGTGCACATGGTTCCTTTTTTTGTGGATCGATAAAAAAAAACAACGTCCCCAAACCAAACTGTTATAGATTGATAAAAAAACGTGATTGTGGCCACCCCTGAGAAGACTGATCGCGCACATGCCTGTTTGGACCAGTCCCCCACATTCGGCTTTTGGCTTGTGGTTTTCGACCTCAACACCTATTGCCCTAAGTCAGATTCCAGTGGCCAGTTTCTCCAAAAGCCTCAGCCTGCCTTAAGCCACAGCCGGATGGCCCGCGCAATTCCGTCTAGAGACAGCAAAACCTAAATCTGTACACGCGGCTTGAAAATCGCATGACGGGCACCCTTCCAAAAATGGCCTTACCTGGCATGCCTGCTAGATGATGCTATGTGGGTGATGGTCCCATGTCTTGAGGTGGAGTGCTTGATGCTTGATGTGCTGATTCCTGATGCGCTTGCTGTGCGTGATGCCTGATGTGAATTGCCCCCCCCCCCCTCACAGGTGCCCCTCTGCGAGTGCACTTCAGACTAGCTTGGCCATGACGTCCGCCATCTTGCTGACGGCGTCAATGCACCTCTCAGCAGTCCGCTGAGCAGAGACCGCTTGCCCTCCTCGGGTGCGAGGGCGTTGTCGGCCGGCCTGCACCCTGCAGGGTACCAAACGGCAGGGTCCCTCAACATATGTTTATCTCGATGTGAAAAGATACGGTTTTCAACTCTAGCCCACAACGTGTTCCACTCGTCGCAAAAACATGTTGGTGATTCGAATGAACACAAACCCTGAAACTGATTGAACCCTGCCCGCTACACAGTCACATAAAAACAACCCAGTGAAACAGGTACTGTTAACTGGAAAGGCACGGCTGGAGCTGGCCCCAGCGGTCAATGTAGCCCTTGCCACCGTCGGGCAGCGTCGCGTAGTATCCATGCCCTTTGCCGCCTTGCGGCGGCTTGCCGCCTTTTCCGCCTTTGCGGGCAAATTGCCCCTTGCCGCGGCCTTTCTGGCCTGTGCCCCACTGCTCCCGCTGCTGGTGCTGCTGCTGACCACCCCATGCTTGCTGCTGACCACCCCAGGCTTGCTGCTGATCACCCCATGCCTTTTTTCCCCACCATTTTTCCTTGCTCCCCCCGCCGTCGGCCTGCCATGTCGTCTTCTTCCACGAGCGCCACCGATCGGCTTGATCCTCCTCCTCCCCATCCATCCACCTCGCATCTGCAACCCCCGCCGAGGATGATGCTTCGGGGTCGTGGCCCTCCGCGCCCTCCTCCTTGGACCACCAGTCCCCCTGCTCCGCCCACTCATGATCTTGCCATGCTTGATCTTGCCATGCTTGATCCTCATCTGCCCATCCCTTCTCCTCTGGCTTGACCTGTGCCCACCACTCGTCCGTGCCTTCACCCTGGCCGTAGTGGCCTGCGTCGTGGCCTGCAGCATCTTCAGCAAGAGCCGATTCCGGCGCCTCATAGTGCCCACCCTCCTGCCGAGGTCGGCATGTTCACTTGGGCAAACATTTTCAAACGAGTTGGGCAAACCTTTTTCAAACGAGTTTCCAATTGAAACCTTATTGCATCACGGGTTGGGCTAGGCCAGCATCATACATATATAGGTAAACATAAGGGGCATAGGGCGGGGCGCAGGTCTAGCCAAGTGCATGAGGATTGAATCCTTAACCAACCCAAACTATAGTTTGCGCTGTAGCATTCCAACTATCCCCGTGAACCCTGTCCTCGCCGTGCCCAGCACCTCTTGGTCGCTTTGCCGGCGGCTGCAGCTGCTCCGAGACCATGTAGGGGTCCTCCTCCACCGCCACTGTCTCTTCCTCGTCTGCCATTGCTGCAGCGCTGGGCGAGCTGACCTAAACTTATTAAGAGTGTGAATGGTGTGGCCTGCGCTTGTGAAGAGCTGTATAGGTTCTTTGACCTTGCCAGTGTTCCTTCAATGACTTAGTTGCGCGAGTGATGAACAGCAAACACTTGTACAAGTTGTTGCTGAATGCTTGCAGTGCGGGTGGCCATGCCCCATGAAGAAAATCTCCAGCGCAACACAGCGGCGGCCACAACACGATCCATGTATAGCCCAGCCCCGAGACCAAGTCGCCAGCATGCCCAAAAGGCTTTAACCCTATAGATGAAAGCATGGGGACCTCGAACATTGTGGCAACCCTGGATCAGCTTCGCCCCAGTAGCCCTGAAGTCAATGTGACAAAGAAGGCAAACTACTCCCAAGTTACAGGTATACTGGAACACTGCGCTATCCCAACACAAATACCTTCAAAGTGAGTGGTGGTTGCCAGGAGCTATATCTTCCAATAGGTTCTAGAGGCATCAAACCTGTTGCGATTAGAAGCATTTTCTTTGGCAAGACTCTCCGGGTTTCTTTTTGTGCTGACAAGGGAACATACTTTTGCCAAGACACGTTAAAGTAAACATGCTGCCACAAGACTTTGCGCGGCGGCGATTGATGTGTTAGTCTGTTTTTGTGCTGGGATTCTCAACAGCTTCAAATGCACACCAGCGAAGGGGTTCACAGCCATTGTCAACCTGCAGCCTTGACCCCCTACTTTCCACTAACGCCGCCCAGTAGTTGATAGCTCAAAGGCTCTTGGCGGGCTGTTGGTCTTGCAAAATGGAATAACATAGTCGTGATAGTGTCAGGGGCCCATTGTCTCTGAGGTCTCTTTAAACTTGTTTGGACTGGAACGGCCAAAGCCCCTGCAATCTCGAAAGGCGCTGCCCTATCCCTGGAGTGGATGCTCAGGGAGCCGAAATGAACATGTTACAACACACTGGGTCCGTTGGCAGTTCCTCAATTGCCAGTTGACTGGAATCGCGACCAACACTTGACACAATGGTTTCCCCAACAAACAAACACGCACGGACGCACGCACACACACACACACAGCTGAGACATCATGGTCACAACAGCTTAGTTTAAGCGTAAGTGTAGCCATCACACAGCCAGCAGCGATCGCACTTGAAGCCAATTCGGAAGCCATGTGGTAACAATCACCCCACCTACAGCCGTGAGTGTGCAGCGTGTCTTCTCGTTTCGGTCACATTGATTCATAGGCCGCCTCGCAAGATGTAGAAGCGTGTAATCTAAAACAATGCAGTTGATGATGCGCCACCCTCACTGACAAACTATTGTGGAATCCTCTGCAAAAACAACCCGTGAAGTGAGGAAGCCAGGAGCAATCTCAAAGCGGGTTTCAACTTGACCAGGCATGCTTTTCCACGTCTCACTGACTGCTACATTGTTCTGCGCCCCCCACTGCAAATTATGTGATGCACTGAGCTGTGGGTTTGCGCAATGAAGAGCACTGCGCACACAGCCTTGCACTTGCAAGTGTGCCCCCGCGTGCTATATGAAGGCTTCCTTGCAATCACGGCATCCCAGACAGTGGCCACACATACCAAGCAAACACAGCAAACAAAACAATCAGCCCAAACAGCGTATCCACACATGATTCAAATTGAATGTCATGGCTCTTGCGCACACCTATCACAATGCTTTCCTCACACAGGGCCCTAGGATTGCGTGCCTGATTCGGAAGCATCCCGTTCAGCCTCAGGCAAAGGCTCTGCTCTGCTGGGCTTGCGCTTCTTAGCGTCGCGCTCGTGCTCAGGAATGCCCTGCATGATTCCGGCCTTGAGGTGCACCATGATGTCTTCGCTCATTTCAAGCCAAAGGTGAGGCGACTTAACGGACCATAAGCATTGGACCTCCCTCTCCGGATGCCAATCAGCGGCAGGCACCACTGCAGGTGCGACTGCCGAGTCAGATTGCCTGACTGTGCGCCTGCGCCTTGGCTGAGGCGGCTCTTCGCCTTCTTGCGTTGACCGCATGGCTTCCTGGTATGCCTCTCGGCTTTTCTTGTTCCTCTCCGTGACCAGGTGCTCCATGTAGTCGCCGCTCAGGCAGTGCCCTTTGCCCTTGCGCAGGTCCAAGGCCCGCCCCGTGACGTACCTTGTCAAGTCTCGGGACCAACGATGCAGTTTGATGAAGTCGGTCCCCTGGACGGTCACAACTTCCGGCTTCCACTGGTGCTTCCCACGGGTCTCCGATGTGATGACACAGACCTTACTGATCTTCGTGTCAGCCATGCTTCAGCAAGCGAGCAAGATTGCCCAGCTTGTGGCGAGAAAGTCCCAGCCACCTGCACCACCTTTGAGCCTGCTCGAGGAATGTCAGGCAAACACATTGTTCTCAAGCGCCAACCCAATGAGTTGTTTCATTGGTTTCGTGTCAAGAATCGTGAACTCTGTACTGACGTGCTTGGAAATGTGGTCTGGTGCTTTGAAAGGGGTTGGAAACACTGCAGGGCAATGGCTCGCTAATTGTCAACTGGAGCTGGGCTCTGTGGCTGGGCAGTTTGCTCGCCGTATGCAACTGAAGCTGGGCTTAGCTCGCTTCTGCGGCTGGGCAGTTTGCTCGCCATATGCAACTGAAGCTGGGCTTAGCTCGCTTCTGCGGCTGGGCCGGTTGCTCGCCATGCGCAACTGAAGCTGGACTTAGCTTGCTTTCGATTGTGAAGCCACAGTTTGAGCACCCCTCACCAAACCCGCTCAGCCCTCCAAGAGAAGTCTGCATGCAAGAAAGACACAAGGCAGAATATTTTGTGCATGATACTGACTATACTGTGCAGCTGGGCTCATATGCTCGCTGAAACAATGCCGTGGGGCTATCCAACCGAGCCACAGGCAACTCCAAAGGTTTGGGTCCCTGCGTGATGCGTTGCAGCAGTCTCCGTTTTACACGTGGCCGGACCGATCAAGACAATCTGCGCAAAGGCTTGTGCATGCCGACAGCTCGCCCAACTCGTAACTCACAGAAGCACTGAAGCAATGCAGCATGGCATGTCAAAGCTAACTTTAACAGCAATGATTGCAAACCCTGTTGGACTGCTGAGAGATTCGGCACAAACTGTCTATATATGAAGTCGCTTCTTCTAGTCAGCCGATTTCACACGGCGACGCTTTGCTGGCGCAGCCGAAACTATGTCCTCCAAATCAGGAACCTTCGTTTCCTTGACACGAAACACCTTAAGCTGCTGATTGGGTTTGTTCACATCCTATATCCCCATATATAGTGCATTAGTTTTCTATGCAGTTTGTGCAGTACATGAGCTTGGAGTTTCACGTGCATGAACAGTTTGATCGCTAGGCGTTTGTATGCTCAAGGAAAAACAATCATGGTAGCGGAGCCCTGAATAGCAGGGCGTCCGGGTCGTTTGGTTCGTAGAGCCCCTAGACGTTTAGGTCGGGCCGGAGCCATTCGCGTTTTCCATTTCATTTCGATTGCATCTGCATTTGCTTGTGTGGATTCACTTACATCTGGAACAGATATTTGCAGTTTTGCATTTTGGTGATTTCAGACATGGCTTCACCGGAAATGGTGCAGCTTACACAGGCTTTGCTCAGGGCAGCAGAGGCCACAGCAACGGCTTCGGAGCGATTGGCGGGTGCGCCATCAGGTTCGACTTCGGCAACCACCAATTTCACGGAGGCTTCAAAGGTGGTGCGGCCTCGACACCACTGAGGAGGAGCGTTCAGAATTTCCTGACTTTTGCATGCAGATGAAGGCTTGGCTATTTTATGCAGAACCAGCATATGAAGCAGACTTGCAACATGTTGAGCAGCACTTGGACACCCCTGTTGCTTTTGACAGCATGTCTGCAGAAGCCCGTGCGCGAAGTGTTAAGTTCTACAACATCCTCATCGGTCTCCTGAAGAATCGCCCTTTCAGGTTGCTCAAGCAGATCGAGAACAGGAACGGCTTTGAAGCTTGGCGTCAGATTGTGTCTTTCCTTCAGCCACATACCAAGGCAAGATCAGTTTCTTTGCTTACAGCTTTGATGAACTTGCCCTCCTTTACAAAGGAGAAGTCTTTGCGGGAGCAGATTCAGACACTGGATCTTATGCGTGATGAGTATAGGAAATCCTCTGGTGCAGATGTTCCTGAAGACCTATCCTTGGGAGTGCTCATTCGTGTTTTGCCAGCCCATATTCGACAGCATGTGCAGTTACAGATGAAGGAATCTACGCGCTATGAAGAAGTGCGTGCAGCAGTGCTTGCTTATGAGAATGTTTCTTCAACCTGGACAACCAGCAAGGTTCACAGTGAGTTTGGGATTGGAAATCAACCATCTCAGCAACACCAAGGTTTGGCACCCATGGAGATTGATCGTGTTTCAAATCCAAACTGGAATCAACCCTGGAACAACAAAGGTGGAAAGTTTGGCAAAAGCGGCAAAGGCAACAAAGGCAAGTACGACAAAGGGAAAGGCAAAGGTAAGTCAGACAAAGGCAAAGGAAAATCAGAAGGCAAATATGGCGGTAAAGGCAGTGGAAAAGGCAAGTTTCAGCAGCACGATGATGGCAAAGCGAACTGTTGCTTGTACTGCGGCAAACCAGGCCATTGGAAGCGTGACTGCAGAGCCTATAAGCGTGACCAGCAGAACAATGTCCGCAATGTTGAGACCGCCAGTGCAGCAGGTACATCCGCGACTGCAGCAAGTACAACTGACCATTCTGGAGCCCCTAGTGTTTCAGGTTCGGTCTCATCATCGCAGCCTTCCTCAGCAGGTGCATTTGCGCAGCAACAGCAGCAACGTCAAGTGCGCTTGCTTCCATTTGCAGAGCAGGATGATTTTGTGGACCTCACCAATTTGCAGTTTTCAAACATGAGCCCAACACGCAGTATTCGCATGATGAGTTTTCCAGATTCCGCATGTGCAGATTCAGTTTCACATGACGATGCTTGCAGTGCAGATGCAGCATATAAGAGTGCGTGTGCGTTTTTCGACATGACATGTTCAGACCATGACAACGTTTGGACTGTTGCACCTGGTTGTGAGTTGTGTAGTCATGTTCGTGCATTGCAGGACTCGGCAGCAGGAGAAGAGATTGAAATCATTTTTGATAGTGGTGCCGATGGCAGTGTCTTGCCATTGAGATATGCGCACATAGGTGAATCCACGGTTTTGAGTGGCCCTCAGACTCAGTATGTCGATGCTCAGGGAGCCGCGCTTGGAGTGCGGGATTTCAGAACAGCTGAAGTGACATTCGATGGCATTCGCCTCAGAGAGCATTTTGCCATAGCCCCTGTCACATCTCCATTGGTGTGCTTAGGGAAGATTTTGCAAGATGGCTGGGCCATCACCAACAATTCTGGTTCTTTGTGCTTGACCAAAGGAGCCAAGAGAATTCCCCTGCAGTACCGAAATAATTCACTTTGTGCCACAGGTGTGATCAGGATGCTTAGCGAGCATCAAGCCATTCGTGCTGTCACACTTCAGGAGCCACTCAGGAAACTGCAACCTGGATGGACCGAGCTTGGAGCAGGCCTCTATGGTATTGTCAGTTTTGACCCTAGCTTTGTGAATACCACCCTTGCCCCTTCAGATGTCTTTCTTTGGTTCAGGACTACCTTGGTTCTACGTTCTGGTGTTTGGGAGCTCATGGAGTTTGGGGAGGACATTTCAAAGCTGGATGATTTGTCAAGTTCATTTGTGAACAGCAGCAACGTGGAGAAAGTGATTACCATCGGTCATTCAGTTCCATTTACCGATGAAGTGTGCCAGAGTTTGTTTGTTGATGAAAGCAGCGCAGCCGAGATTTTGCAACGCAGACGTGACTATGCAGAGCCAGAGACAGTGCAGCAACCGCCAGACGATGTGCCTCAGGCAGATGATCATGCCAGATCCCGTTTTCCCTGTTGACCCTGATGAGATAGAAGTTGCAGGTGTAAAGCTAAGCAGTGCTTCCCCAGGCGACCTTCTTAGGCAAGCGTGTGAGACACTGGGTTTGCCTAGCTGGGGAAACAAGCGACAAGCTTTTAAACGTTTGGTGAAACATTTGCAACAACAAGGTTTACTTGCAGCTCACACCGCCTCACAACAAGTGGAGCGTGACATTGTGCGGCATCCTGTGATGCAACCTGTGCCTAGGAAGCCCACTGAGCGTGAAGTTTTGGAGCACAGTTATGTTCATTACCCTTATGAAGCATGGTGCGAATACTGTGTGATGCACAAGGCGCGTCAAGATGCACACCATGATGAGCATCATGAAACTGCAGCACACAGTGTCGTTTCTTTTGACTTTGGGTATTGCAGCAGACAGCCAGATGGTTCAGACAAGATCACTGTTTTGTTTGCGCATGACAGAGCCACAGGTTTGATACATGCCTTACCAACACCAGCCAAAGGTGGTCGGTACATGTCCTACCTCACCACCGAGCTTACTCGCTTCATAGCTTGGACAGGTCATCAGCGTGTCGGTTTGAGATGTGACAATGAGCCAGCCACTTTAGGTTTGCTTGACAGTGTAAGACGTGCTTGTAGACAGCTTGGCATTTCCACCATTGCAGAACCTGTTGCGCCCGGCAACCATCAAGGCAATGGTGCGGCAGAACGTGCCGTGCAGAGTGTGCGAAACCAAGCAGGCATTTTTGTATCGCAGTTGGAGCGCCTTGGAGGTGCGCCAGAAGGGAAAATTATATTCGAGTGCACCCACCCAGTTTACAACTGGGCAATTCCACATGCAGCATGGGCGTACAATCATTACCGAGTTGCGAATGGCAGGACTGCTTATGAAGTGGCCACGGATCGCCAACACACTGGCCGCATCGCTCGTTTTGGGGAGATGACCTATGGATTCCTCCGGACAAGTGCCAAGGCAGCCCCACAATGGTGCAAAGGCCTTTGGCTTGGCAAAACGATGCAGGCAGATTGCCATATCATTGCAGTTGCCTCACCAGATAATTGTGGTATTTTCACAACGAGATCTGTGAGACGCTTGCCAGACCCATGGAACTTAGACTATGCAGCCAAGGTTGAATCGATGCCTTCAGATTTTGGATATGCAGCGCTTGGTTCCAAGTTGGTCATGGCCAAGAGAGTTTTGCCTCCACAGCCACACCCAGTTGAGCTTCCCATTGATTTCCCATTTGCGCTGAGCCAGCAACCACCAACTCCAGATGAGGCAGCGATAGAGCCTCAGACACCTGCACCGCCTGAACTTCCTGAACAACCTGCTTCCAGCAGTGCAGGAGTATCAGCGCAGGCGGGGATGATGCCACCTCCAGCATCAGCAGCAGTCTCAGCGCCAGCAACACCGGCAGGCCCTGGAGTTCCAGTTCCTGGAAACCCAGCTGGAGCAAGCCAGGCGCCTACCACACCAACTTTGACTGCAGATGAAGCAGCAAGTCAAGGATTGTTTGCAGACTTGGATGCAAGTCCAAGACCTAACAAGCAGCTCAAAATCAATCAGATTGGCAGTTGTTTCATTGACGGTACAGAGTATCCTCACGAGGACGAGCAAATAGTCCTGGATTTTGATGAGGACAGCTTCGATTTTTTAGACCAGCATGATGACGAAGTCACAGATGAGCTTTGGTCAGACGAGTTTTTGCATGAAGGTTCAGCCCTTTTCGATTTGGCAGGATCAACGCAGCAATTGATTTTTCCAGATGATGGTGCAGGAGAGCCTCAGCTTTCCATTCAGGACATGATACAGCTTGATTCGCTTGCAGACAGAGTCGAGATAGAGCGGCTGACAAAGCTTGGAGTGTTGCTACCGCCAGACTCTCTTCAGTGCGAACCAGGCCAACGTCCTAAAACCCTCAGCGCCAGGTTTGTCAGGACATGGAGAGAGAAAGTCATTGACAACAAGAAAGTGTTTTTGCGACGCTCAAGGTATGTCGCTCGAGAATTTGCATGGTTAGACCAGCGGCAGGACTTGTACAGTCCAGCCAGCAGCAATGTGACAAATCGCCTATTTCCTATTTTGTTTCTGACGCTTAGGAGCATGGACTTTGTGCTTTCAGCATTGGATGTGTCAGATGCTTTTCTCACAGTGGTTCAGAAGGATCCCACATTGGTAACTTGTGAGGACGCAGCCGGAAATGTTTACAAGTACGCTCTGGGTCGTGTGCTACCTGGACAGCGTGATGGCAGCCAACGGTGGCATGAAGCCATAACTGCTTTTATGAGAGAGAGTTTGGACATTCATGCTTGTGCAGCTTATCCTTCTATTTTGAAGAGCAAGTGCAGTGAATGTTTCATTCTTCTACATGTGGATGACATGATGATTTTATCCACCCGGCATTTTCTTGACTTGAAACTGAAACCAGCATTTGAGGAAAAGTATGCCATCAGCATCGAGACCTTGACGGACCACAACGAAATCTGTTTTCTGAAAAGACGTCATTGGTTGACGGAGGATGGGAACCTTGTCATGCAGCCCCATCACAAACACTTCGACAAATTGTTTGATCTGTTAAAGACGAGCAGACGACTTGTTTCAAAGAAGACCCCTGTTCATCCGTTAATGGGAGAACCAGATGATTCACCACCACTTTCAAGTGTTGATGCAACCACTTACAAATCAGCAGTTGGTATACTCCTTTATCTGTCCCCCGACATTCCTGAAGCACAGTTTGCAATTCGTGGTTTATCCCAGTACATGGCATCACCAACAGAGAATTCCATGAAGATGCTCAGACACCTTTCGCAGTATCTTTTGGGAGCTGTGAACAATGGCATTTTGATCAAGAAGCCCACCAACGAGGTGGATTTGAAGCGTATGACGCTCAACCTGTACACTGATGCAGATTGGGCAGGAGACAAGTCTTCGAGACGTTCGGTCACCGCAGTTTGTGTGTTTTTGCAGGACAGCCTGATTTATTCAGCCAGCAGGACGCAGAAGGCCATAGCTCTCAGCAGTGCAGAGAGTGAGCTTTACTCGGCAACATCAGGTTTGTGCGACAGCATTTTACTTCGTTCTTGTTTGGAATACATGTTTGATGCGAAAATTCACTTGAGGTTGTATGTGGACAATAGCGCATGCAAGCAGATCCTCAGGAGGAGCGGCGTCGGTCGGATTCGCCACCTCGATTGCCGTGTTCTTTGGACTCAACGTTTGGTTCAAACTGGTCAACTTTCTGTACATCATGTTGAGACAAAGATGAACCCAAGTGATTTGTTCACCAAGCGGCTTTCGCGTGATCGAATGCTTTTGCTCATGCATCTTATTGGATGTTTTGACACTGGCTCAGATGAGATTCTTGGAAAAGAGCAGTGGGAGCAACACATGCAAGTTGTTCATTTTAGGCAGTGTGTGAATGTGTTGCACAGCAGTTTCAATGGACCTAAGAAACCAATCCAGCGCATGATCCGCATGATGATGTTCGCGAGTGCATTTACGCCTTGAGTCGGCTACACATCTTCGAACATTGAGATTTTGCATTGTGGCAATTTTGCAGAGTGCCACTTGTGCATTTCCTTTTGCAGATATGGAAGTGGCAACTTTCAGCCACACTTCTGAAATGATGGTACATTTCTTGCAACATTCATTTGCATTATTTGCGACGATCTATACTTTTGCAGCAGCGAATTTGATGCGAGCTTGGAGCAGCATTGACCTTCAGACATTTATTTTCAGCAGTATTCTTTTTGCGGCGGCAGCTTTGTTTCTCTGGTGGAGACAGAGAAGACCTCGTGGACCCATGGTTTACGTGACAGAATTCGGAAAGCATTTTCATCAGCTGAATTGCAGATGGATCGGTCAGAGGAAAGTGACTGAGATTTCAGAATCGGAAGCAATGCAGCGGCATTACAAGAAGTGCCACACGTGCCACTTTCAAGATGCGAAGAAGATTTCTGGTACAGCAAAGCCAAAGCCTCGTTTACTGAAGAGGCGACACCAGCCGGATGAGACTTTTCACACGGCTTGAATTTGTACAGCACGTACTGATCTCAGTACTTAGTGTACAAAGGCGGGGTGATTGGGTTTGTTCACATCCTATATCCCCATATATAGTGCATTAGTTTTCTATGCAGTTTGTGCAGTACATGAGCTTGGAGTTTCACGTGCATGAACAGTTTGATCGCTAGGCGTTTGTATGCTCAAGGAAAAACAATCAGCTGCTCACCAGCTTTGATCGGGCGCGTGTTCTTCATCACGGGCACCTTGATGGTGACCTGGTGGATCAGCTTGTCGGATTCGTTGTGGGAGCCCAGGTCCGGAGTCACCTCCATGTTGGCCTCGTCTGGTTGCTCAGTTGTCTGGACCAGCCAGAAGGGCGCGATCATGCCCTTGGAGCCCTCTGGGTGAGGCTTTGGCGCCGCAAAGCACGGCACCAACCAAAACGAAAGGCCGCCTTCTGGGCCAGCCATGAGCTCTCCCAGAAGCTGTGCGCCCGACTTCTGCAACTGGGTGCTGATGCGGGTGGTCATGGGCACCAGGACCAGCTTGTTGGTTGCAAAGTTCTTGGTCACAACCACATTTTTGAACGGTTTAGCCTGGATGGTCAAGTGCTGCAAGGTGTCCAAGTGCTTGAGCTCTTCCTGCAGCAACGCAGCAGTGATCTTGCCCTTGAGATACAGCACTCCAAACTCCACATGGCTGCCAATCCGGTGCTGCCAGTGCTCCTGCAAGTTCCAGTTGGCCAAAACTGATTCAAACCCCTCCAACAAATGGAGTAAAAAAGGCGAATTGGAAACATGCGCAACTGCCCTTTATAAGGGCCCCAGGCTCCTGCACCTCCTCCACCTCCTTCTTCGCAGCACAGTGGGTCCATTCCTTCTTGGTGAAGGATTTGGCCAAGACTTTAGCCGTGCCCGAAATGAGACCGGATTCGATGCGCAAAATCACATGCGACTGCGTGAATCCGGAAATGGTCGCCGCGACTTTATCCGCGCGCCGCATGACAGCGTCCCCGGCATTGAACCCTAGCTCTTTGACAATGGCCTCGCATTCGGCAAGCTCTCCGTGCCGGTCGTACGTCAGCATCCTGATGGCCCGAGAGCCGAGCAAATCGCGAGCTTTCCTAAAAGCCCAGCGCTGGCGAGCTGTTTGGCCCAGCCACACACATCTGTGCTGTTAACGAAAATGCGGACGGATCCCAAAACAATACATATTTAGGTCGTCTTGGAAAAACGTGTTTTTCAGCAAAGGATCACTGAAGGGGCAGCTGAATCGGGGCGAGACGGCCCTGCCACAGCAGGCTTCTCCACGGTGAAGGCACTCCACTTCTCAGTCAGCAAGGGGCCGCCTCTCTCCTGCACTTTCACGATGAAGGCCTGGGCGGCGTGCTCCATGCTGGGCAGGCGCCCTTTCCTGTCCAGCAACTGTGTGACGATCTGATGCTCAAAGAGAAGCACCTCCTGATGCAAGTCGGAGGCCAGGGTGATGCGACCGAGCTCCCGAACGTCTTGCATCAGCTGTTGATTGGGTTTGTTCACATCCTATATCCCCATATATAGTGCATTAGTTTTCCATGCAGTTTGTGCAGTACATGAGCTTGGAGTTTCACGTGCATGAACAGTTTGATCGCTAGGCGTTTGTATGCTCAAGAAAAACAATCATGGTAGCGGAGCCCTGAATAGCAGGGCGTCCGGGTCGTTTGGTTCGTAGAGCCCCTAGACGTTTAGGTCGGGCCGGAGCCATTCGCGTTTTCCATTTCATTTCGATTGCATCTGCATTTGCTTGTGTGGATTCACTTACATCTGGAACAGATATTTGCAGTTTTGCATTTTGGTGATTTCAGACATGGCTTCACCGGAAATGGTGCAGCTTACACAGGCTTTGCTCAGGGCAGCAGAGGCCACAGCAGCGGCTTCGGAGCGATTGGCGGGTGCGCCATCAGGTTCGACTTCGGCAGCCACCAATTTCACGGAGGCTTCGAAGGTGGTGCGGCCTCCAGAGCCATTTGGCCCTGACACCACTGAGGAGGAGCGTTCAGAATTTCCTGACTTTTGCATGCAGATGAAGGCTTGGCTATTTTATGCAGAACCAGCATATGAAGCAGACTTGCAACATGTTGAGCAGCACTTGGACACCCCTGTTGCTTTTGACAGCATGTCTGCAGAAGCCCGTGCGCGAAGTGTTAAGTTCTACAACATCCTCATCGGTCTCCTGAAGAATCGCCCTTTCAGGTTGCTCAAGCAGATCGAGAACAGGAACGGCTTTGAAGCTTGGCGTCAGATTGTGTCTTTCCTTCAGCCACATACCAAGGCAAGATCAGTTTCTTTGCTTACAGCTTTGATGAACTTGCCCTCCTTTACAAAGGAGAAGTCTTTGCGGGAGCAGATTCAGACACTGGATCTTATGCGTGATGAGTATAGGAAATCCTCTGGTGCAGATGTTCCTGAAGACCTATCCTTGGGAGTGCTCATTCGTGTTTTGCCAGCCCATATTCGACAGCATGTGCAGTTACAGATGAAGGAATCTACGCGCTATGAAGAAGTGCGTGCAGCAGTGCTTGCTTATGAGAATGTTTCTTCAACCTGGACAACCAGCAAGGTTCACAGTGAGTTTGGGATTGGAAATCAACCATCTCAGCAACACCAAGGTTTGGCACCCATGGAGATTGATCGTGTTTCAAATCCAAACTGGAATCAACCCTGGAACAACAAAGGTGGAAAGTTTGGCAAAAGCGGCAAAGGCAACAAAGGCAAGTACGACAAAGGGAAAGGCAAAGGTAAGTCAGACAAAGGCAAAGGAAAATCAGAAGGCAAATATGGCGGTAAAGGCAGTGGAAAAGGCAAGTTTCAGCAGCACGATGATGGCAAAGCGAACTGTTGCTTGTACTGCGGCAAACCAGGCCATTGGAAGCGTGACTGCAGAGCCTATAAGCGTGACCAGCAGAACAATGTCCGCAATGTTGAGACCGCCAGTGCAGCAGGTACATCCACGACTGCAGCAAGTACAACTGACCATTCTGGAGCCCCTAGTGTTTCAGGTTCGGTCTCATCATCGCAGCCTTCCTCAGCAGGTGCATTTGCGCAGCAACAGCAGCAACGTCAAGTGCGCTTGCTTCCATTTGCAGAGCAGGATGATTTTGTGGACCTCACCAATTTGCAGTTTTCAAACATGAGCCCAACACGCAATATTCGCATGATGAGTTTTCCAGATTCCGCATGTGCAGATTCAGTTTCACATGACGATGCTTGCAGTGCAGATGCAGCATATAAGAGTGCGTGTGCGTTTTTCGACATGACATGTTCAGACCATGACAACGTTTGGACTGTTGCACCTGGTTGTGAGTTGTGTAGTCATGTTCGTGCATTGCAGGACTCGGCAGCAGGAGAAGAGATTGAAATCATTTTTGATAGTGGTGCCGATGGCAGTGTCTTGCCATTGAGATATGCGCACATAGGTGAATCCACGTTTTTGAGTGGCCCTCAGACTCAGTATGTCGATGCTCAGGGAGCCGCGCTTGGAGTGCGGGATTTCAGAACAGCTGAAGTGACATTCGATGGCATTCGCCTCAGAGAGCATTTTGCCATAGCCCCTGTCACATCTCCATTGGTGTGCTTAGGGAAGATTTTGCAAGATGGCTGGGCCATCACCAACAATTCTGGTTCTTTGTGCTTGACCAAAGGAGCCAAGAGAATTCCCCTGCAGTACCGAAATAATTCACTTTGTGCCACAGGTGTGATCAGGATGCTTAGCGAGCATCAAGCCATTCGTGCTGTCACCAGAAAACTGCAGCCTGGATGGACCGAGCTTGGAGCAGGCCTCTATGGTATTGTCAGTTTTGACCCTAGCTTTGTGAATACCACCCTTGCCCCTTCAGATGTCTTTCTTTGGTTCAGGACTACCTTGGTTCTACGTTCTGGTGTTTGGGAGCTCATGGAGTTTGGGGAGGACATTTCAAAGCTGGATGATTTGTCAAGTTCATTTGTGAACAGCAGCAACGTGGAGAAAGTGATTACCATCGGTCATTCAGTTCCATTTACCGATGAAGTGTGCCAGAGTTTGTTTGTTGATGAAAGCAGCGCAGCCGAGATTTTGCAACGCAGACGTGACTATGCAGAGCCAGATACAGTGCAGCAACCGCCAGATGATGTGCCTCAGGCAGATGATCATCAGCCAGATCCCGTTTTTCCTGTTGACCCTGATGAGATAGAAGTTGCAGGTGTAAAGCTAAGCAGTGCTTCCCCAGGCGACCTTCTTAGGCAAGCGTGTGAGACACTGGGTTTGCCTAGCTGGGGAAACAAGCGACAAGCTTTTAAACGTTTGGTGAAACATTTGCAACAACAAGGTTTACTTGCAGCTCACACCGCCTCACAACAAGTGGAGCGTGACATTGTGCGGCATCCTGTGATGCAACCTGTGCCTAGGAAGCCACACTGGAGCGTGAAGTTTTGTGAGCACAGTTATGTTCATTAGTGTCCCTTATCAGAAGCATGGTGCGACATACTGTGGAGCGCAGTTCATCGCGTCATGATGAGCCACACCATGATGACAGCATCATGAAACTGCAGCACACAGTGTGCATCTTTTGACTTGTGAGTATTGCAGCAGACAGCCAGATGGTTCAGCACAAGATCACTGTTTTGTTTGCGCATGACAGAGCCACAGGTTTGATACATGCCTTACCAACACCAGCCAAAGGTGGTCGGTACATGTCCTACCTCACCACCGAGCTTACTCGCTTCATAGCTTGGACAGGTCATCAGCGTGTCGGTTTGAGATGTGACAATGAGCCAGCCGCTTTAGGTTTGCTTGACAGTGTAAGACGTGCTTGTAGACAGCTTGGCATTTCCACCATTGCAGAACCTGTTGCGCCCGGCAACCATCAAGGCAATGGTGCGGCAGAACGTGCCGTGCAGAGTGTGCGAAGCCAAGCAGGCATTTTTGTATCGCAGTTGGAGCGCCTTGGAGGTGCGCCAGAAGGGAAAATTATATTCGAGTGCACCCACCCAGTTTACAACTGGGCAATTCCACATGCAGCATGGGCGTACAATCATTACCGAGTTGCGAATGGCAGGACTGCTTATGCAGTGGCCACGGATCGCCAATACACTGGCCGCATCGCTCGTTTTGGGGAGATGACCTATGGATTCCTCCGAACAAGTGCCAAGGCAGCCCCACAATGGTGCAAAGGCCTTTGGCTTGGCAAAACGATGCAGGCAGATTGCCATATCATTGCAGTTGCCTCACCAGATAATTGTGGTATTTTCACAACGAGATCTGTGAGACGCTTGCCAGACCCATGGAACTTAGACTATGCAGCCAAGGTTGAATCGATGCCTTCAGATTTTGGATATGCAGCGCTTGGTTCCAAGTTGGTCATGGCCAAGAGAGTTTTGCCTCCACAGCCACACCCAGTTGAGCTTCCCATTGATTTCCCATTTGCGCTGAGCCAGCAACCATCAACTCCAGATGAGGCAGCGATAGAGCCTCAGACACCTGCACCGCCTGAACTTCCTGAACAACCTGCTTCCAGCAGTGCAGGAGTATCAGCGCAGGCGGGGATGATGCCACCTCCAGCATCAGCAGCAGTCTCAGCGCCAGCAACACCGGCAGGCCCTGGAGTTCCAGTTCCTGGAAACCCAGCTGGAGCAAGCCAGGCGCCTACCACACCAACTTTGACTGCAGATGAAGCAGCAAGTCAAGGATTGTTTGCAGACTTGGATGCAAGTCCAAGACCTAACAAGCAGCTCAAAATCAATCAGATTGGCAGTTGTTTCATTGACGGTACAGAGTATCCTCACGAGGACGAGCAAATAGTCCTGGATTTTGATGAGGACAGCTTTGATTTTTTAGACCAGCATGATGACGAAGTCACAGATGAGCTTTGGTCAGACGAGTTTTTGCATGAAGGTTCAGCCCTTTTCGATTTGGCAGGATCAACGCAGCAATTGATTTTTCCAGATGATGGTGCAGGAGAGCCTCAGCTTTCCATTCAGGACATGATACAGCTTGATTCGCTTGCAGACAGAGTCGAGATAGAGCGGCTGACAAAGCTTGGAGTGTTGCTACCGCCAGACTCTCTTCAGTGCGAACCAGGCCAACGTCCTAAAACCCTCAGCACCAGGTTTGTCAGGACATGGAGAGAGAAAGTCATTGACAACAAGAAAGTGTTTTTGCGACGCTCAAGGTATGTCGCTCGAGAATTTGCATGGTTAGACCAGCGGCAGGACTTGTACAGTCCAGCCAGCAGCAATGTGACAAATCGCCTATTTCCTATTTTGTTTCTGATGCTTAGGAGCATGGACTTTGTGCTTTCAGCATTGGATGTGTCAGATGCTTTTCTCACAGTGGTTCAGAAGGATCCCACATTGGTAACTTGTGAGGACGCAGCCGGAAATGTTTACAAGTACGCTCTGGGTCGTGTGCTACCTGGACAGCGTGATGGCAGCCAACGGTGGCATGAAGCCATAACTGCTTTCATGAGAGAGAGTTTGGACATTCATGCTTGTGCAGCTTATCCTTCTATTTTGAAGAGCAAGTGCAGTGAATGTTTCATTCTTCTACATGTGGATGACATGATGATTTTATCCACCCGGCATTTTCTTGACTTGAAACTGAAACCAGCATTTGAGGAAAAGTATGCCATCAGCATCGAGACCTTGACGGACCACAACGAAATCTGTTTTCTGAAAAGACGTCATTGGTTGACGGAGGATGGGAACCTTGTCATGCAGCCCCATCACAAACACTTTGACAAATTGTTTGATCTGTTAAAGACGAGCAGACGACTTGTTTCAAAGAAGACCCCTGTTCATCCGTTAATGGGAGAACCAGATGATTCACCACCACTTTCAAGTGTTGATGCAACCACTTACAAATCAGCAGTTGGTATACTCCTTTATCTGTCCCCCGACATTCCTGAAGCACAGTTTGCAATTCGTGGTTTATCCCAGTACATGGCATCACCAACAGAGAATTCCATGAAGATGCTCAGACACCTTTCGCAGTATCTTTTGGGAGCTGTGAACAATGGCATTTTGATCAAGAAGCCCACCAACGAGGTGGATTTGAAGCGTATGACGCTCAACCTGTACACTGATGCAGATTGGGCAGGAGACAAGTCTTCGAGACGTTCGGTCACCGCAGTTTGTGTGTTTTTGCAGGACAGCCTGATTTATTCAGCCAGCAGGACGCAGAAAGCCATAGCTCTCAGCAGTGCAGAGAGTGAGCTTTACTCGGCAACATCAGGTTTGTGCGACAGCATTTTACTTCGTTCTTGTTTGGAATACATGTTTGATGCGAAAATTCACTTGAGGTTGTATGTGGACAATAGCGCATGCAAGCAGATCCTCAGGAGGAGCGGCGTCGGTCGGATTCGCCACCTCGATTGCCGTGTTCTTTGGACTCAACGCTTGGTTCAAACTGGTCGACTTTCTGTACATCATGTTGAGACAAAGATGAACCCAAGTGATTTGTTCACCAAGCGGCTTTCGCGTGATCGAATGCTTTTGCTCATGCATCTTATTGGATGTTTTGACATTGGCTCAGATGAGATTCTTGGAAAAGAGCAGTGGGAGCAACACATGCAAGTTGTTCATTTTAGGCAGTGTGTGAATGTGTTGCACAGCAGTTTCAATGGACCTAAGAAACCAATCCAGCGCATGATCCGCATGATGATGTTCGCGAGTGCATTTACGCCTTGAGTCGGCTACACATCTTCGAACATTGAGATTTTGCATTGTGGCAATTTTGCAGAGTGCCACTTGTGCATTTCCTTTTGCAGATATGGAAGTGGCAACTTTCAGCCACACTTCTGAAATGATGGTACATTTCTTGCAACATTCATTTGCATTATTTGCGACGATCTATACTTTTGCAGCAGCGAATTTGATGCGAGCTTGGAGCAGCATTGACCTTCAGACATTTATTTTCAGCAGTATTCTTTTTGCGGCGGCAGCTTTGTTTCTCTGGTGGAGACAGAGAAGACCTCGTGGACCCATGGTTTACGTGACAGAATTCGGAAAGCATTTTCATCAGCTGAATTGCAGATGGATCGGTCAGAGGAAAGTGACTGAGATTTCAGAATCGGAAGCAATGCAGCGGCATTACAAGAAGTGCCACACGTGCCACTTTCAAGATGCGAAGAAGATTTCTGGTACAGCAAAGCCAAAGCCTCGTTTACTGAAGAGGCGACACCAGCCGGATGAGACTTTTCACACGGCTTGAATTTGTACAGCGCGTACTGATCTCAGTACTTAGTGTACAAAGGCGGGGTGATTGGGTTTGTTCACATCCTATATCCCCATATATAGTGCATTAGTTTTCCATGCAGTTTGTGCAGTACATGAGCTTGGAGTTTCACGTGCATGAACAGTTTGATCGCTAGGCGTTTGTATGCTCAAGAAAAACAATCAGCTGTTCTGCTGCAGCTGCATCGTTCGATCTCAGCAGTCTCCTAAGGTCACTGACTGACAACGGCTTCTCCTCAATGTAAGACACACGCAGGGCAGCGTGGCGAAGGCGAAGCAAATGCTCCCCACCTTTGCCAGGCAAACTCAAGTTGTCCCAGCGGTCCGGGCCCAGCTGCCTCTGCGAACCGCCAGCCCTTTTGACAAACTGTTCGCTCTCACGAATCCACTGGCCATCAGCCCCGCCTCCATACCTGAGGATGAAGGTATACATGAATGGCGCAGCATTGCTGCAAGAGGGCTTGGTGCGCAGGACCTTGCTCCGGATCTCCTTGAATTGGACTTGCGTGTCTGGCTTGGACTTGGCCTCCTGCTGCCAGGCTCCCAAAAGGCGGAGGCATATCTGCAGTTCGCCCTCTTGGCGCTGCAGTTGCGCTCCGGTGTTCATGGCCTGTTGCAACAAGCCGCATAAGGCGGGGTAGCGCGTGATGACAGTGGAGCTGATTATGGACCATGTCAAGCCGTTCTCGGCGGCGTCAGCGTATGCAGCGTCCTTGTCCCTGAGCTGGTGAAGGGAAAGCTTGCCCTTTACGAGAAGATCTGGGTTGCCGTCGTGCAGGCAGGCGGCAGCAAACAACCTCAACGCACAGTTGGTGTGCGAGGCACTCAAAGATCCGTACCGAATGGTTTCTTTGATGATGGGCGCCAGCTTCATCGTGTCATCGACGTGGGCATCAAGCTCTTGGTTGAACTTCACCACCAAGGGAATCTCCTCGTGGGAGAGCTCCACGCACAAAGCCCGGATCTGGGCCCAGTCCCAGCCGCACTCCGAGATGTCAGAAGCCAGCTCGTGGACGCAACTTGGGCTCACCCCAGAGCCGTCCCGGTTTGCCGGGTGGACCGCGACCCACTCTGGCTTCAGCCGAGCACGCCAGCTGAGATGCGCATTCCTGAGCTGGCATCAGTTGCCTTAAGGAATGTCCTCATTAAAAAAACAACGTCCAGGCTTTGACCCTTCCTTTTCAGATTCCATACAGGAAGCAAACACATTTGCTATACCGCAGGCCAAATGTCTCCAAATCAACCATCAATGCCGCCATGGACTGCACTATGGACCCACTTTCGGCCTTGGCGATGTGGGCTTCAATCTTTGCACACAGCTCGGGTGTGATCATTTTGCTATCTACCAAAATCAAAGCTTGTCCCAAATAGCTGCAGTGCCTTCACAATGGCTTGCGCGCATGCGCCATTTGGCCTGCCAAATGGCGGGTCCAGAAAGACCTTCATGTTCCAACACCGGTAAACATGGCAAATGCTTTGTGTTCAACCCCCTGGCCACAGACTTGCTTGAAGCGATTGCGTTTGACAGGATCTGCTGTGACTGATGACACTCTTTTCCCTTTTTGCCCTAAAGTTGCATGCTGCGTGGCAAGAGCCACGAGCTCATCTAATTTGCAGCCCGTTGCCATGCATATATGTGTCAAAGGGATGGGCTTATACCTGCCCTTGCGGCTGCCGCTCTCATGGCAAACCGTCACCTGTACATGGCTGTTTCCCAAGCCCCTTTGCTACTATAATCTTCTGATTTGGGGGTAGCTGGCTCCCCATCATGGCGCTCTGCTTTGTAGATCTGGTACAGCTTCGTTGACTTGTGTCCCTGCACCATGCACTTTCATCCTCTTTTGATGCCTTCCATGATCAGGCTGCTCGGCCGACTGCATGGCTCAAGGCATGCGAGCAAAGGCCCAGCATGAATTGGAGGCGAGCTCGCATGCCCAGCCGCGTGTTTCACCCTTATACCCTGACAACATGCATGTGATCTCTTGTTCGGGGCCCCTTTTTAAACCAGTGGGTTCCCAAAAACCCCAAGCAAACACAATATATGATTCCCCCAAAATTGACCACAGCCCCCAAAATTGACCACAGCCCCCAAAATTGACCACAGCCCCCAAACCCCAAGCGCATCCCTCATCTAGGCTATACAAACAAACATAACCCCATATATATATATATATGTGCATGCATACATATATTACATGTTGGTTCCACCAGCTGAAGGTCGGACCCTGTCCACAGGGGCCCGCCCAAACATGTGGATAGTTGTAATGGTTGCCCATGTACGCTGCCCTTGAACCCAAGACTGTGGACTGGTTTCAAAGCACGCACTCCGAATCCAAAAGGGCCCCCCATCATCAACAATACTTTGGGTGAAATATTCTGATTTAGGGCTGGGTGGGGGTAGCGGAGATACCACAAACCTTCCTATGTAAGAAGTTTGGCGCACATCACAAACATCTCATATATAGCAAACTTACCAAACACCAACAAACGTAAAATGGACGAGAAACGCGCAAAACCACGTGTTAGAACAAGAAACCTGTTATCGAATGCCTTGTTGTCCAAAGCACCCGTTTCAGGCAGGTCGAAAATCAGCCCTGACCCCACGCGACGACCCCTGCCTGCGTTGGCAGGCAGCGGCCCGCTGCACAGCATTTGCCTTGAGTTACCTGTATTGGCAGGAAGGGGCCTCTGTGTTTTTTGTTAAATAACGGTGTTATACAAAACCGCCGCACTTGTAAAACACTGATTGACCAGTAACCAACATTCGCAAACACATACTCCGCCGAAGCAAGATGTTTTTTTTAAAAACAAATGCAATTCTATTATACAGTTTCCATTTTTCCGCCAACAGTACAATTTTAGCCAGCGTGTGTGCCAAAAACTGTTTGGGGTCTTTTTTTTTTTTTGAGAGCAACGGGCGCATGCCTTGCCAGACTCACGCATGCACCAGGCACGAGTGTTCTTATATAGCTGCGCAGCTGCATGCCGCGGCATACATAGCGGGCTTGCTAAAAAAGCCTGGCAGACATAGTAAGTAAGCTGTTGATCTACTTATAAGTAGGCCGTGGCATACTTAGCTAAGTCTGCCAACTAACTTACCTAACCCTGCCAAGTTCCCTGTTGCACATAGCTATGTGTGTTTGTATGTCTGATGTAAATCCGCCATGTCATTGGCAGACTTGATAAGTAGATGGCTTAAGGATGGCCACTTACTAAGTTGCTGTGTATAGTTGGCGGGGCTAGCCAACTTATAACCATGGTTAGAAGACTTATAACTATGGTTAGCTGAGTTTATAACTGTGTTATCTGAGCCATGTACTTAGTAACACCGCCGAACATCCAAGTGGTCTGCCCAAAGGGCCCGGGGGGATTCGTTTTTGAGTACTGGTTCGCCCAACGGGTCTGCGGGGTAGGGGTCGGGTTTTTTTAAGTACTGGTTCGCCCAACGGGTCTGGGGGATAGGGGTCGGGTTTTTTTAAGTACTGGTTAGCCCAACGGGCCCCGGGGGGGTTCGTTTTTTCAAGTACTGGTTTGCCCAAAGGGCCCGGCATTTTTGGCCTAGTACTGGTCTGCCCAACGGGTCTGGGGATAGGTGTTAAGTTCTGGTCTGCCCAACAGGTCTGGAGGGGTTTCAGATTTTTTTTTCGAGTACTGGTCTGCCCAACATGCCTGGGGGGTTTCGTTTTTTTAAGTACTGGTTCGCCCAACGGGTACGGGGGGTTCGTTTTTTAAGTACTGGTTTGCCCAACGGGTTTGGGGGGCTCGCCACGACTCAGCGTTTTTGCACGGCTTTTCACTGCTGCTGTTGTTGCACGTGCTGGTGGTACGCGTGCTCATGCTGTTGATGTCCTGCTGTCATGTCGTAGTAGCGGTTCGAGAGTCACAAACTTCCTTGCAAGCATTTCTGGCGCAAAAAAGAATGCAACCTGGTTGATCCTGCCAGTAGTCATATGCTTGTCTCACGGGCTGGATTCCAGCGACAAAGCAGCATGCAAAGAAAAGAAACCTGGTTGATCCTGCCAGTAGTCATATGCTTGTCTTATGGGCTGAGCTGTTCCAAAAACAAGGTGAGCCTGGGAGCTTGGTTCGCCGAACCCGTTGGTTTCCCGAGGACCCCAAACAGGAGCTGAGCAGGCTCCGGGAATTCCCCCCCAGCCTGCGCAATGCCTCAAAACTGTTTTTTTTCAAAGGAGGCTAGTCGATGGTCCTGGGCCTCGGAGGCGCCAGGAAGTCGTCCAGCTGCCTTACAGCCGTCGGCCTGCCCCGTCTCGTCAGTCGGCCCGCCGCGTTGCCGCTGCCCTGCGGCGCCGGCAGCGCCAGCTTCAGCAGGGTCTCCCGGCCCTCCGTGCTGCGGACGGTCATGGAGTCCACGGCCCCCAGCTGCTGCGCGTCGCCGTACTGAGGGTTGAAGCTCCTCGCCGCGTTCGTCGGCGCTCGGAAGGCGCCCGCGTCCTCCACCGCCTTCACGCGCCGGTCGGTGAGGTCCTTGTTGTGCTGGAACTTGTCGGCGTTGTCTTGCAGGACCCTGAACTCCGTGGCCGGCTGCTTCTCCACGTCCTCGGGCGCGCCGTGCACCGTCTCGTGGGGCCGCGCGTTGTAGGCCCCGGCCGCCCGCTCGAAGTGGTCGCTCCACTGCCCGCCCTTGCGCGCCACCCTCGTGGCCAGGTCCTTCTTCAGCGTCTGGATGCCCCGGTCCACCACGGCAATGGCGTTGCGGTCCTCGGGCCGCTTCGTGCGGTGCACGGCATTTTCGGGCAGCTCCCGGTCCAGCGTGGCGAACTCGTTGCCCAGGTCCGTCGTGACCACAAAGTTCCCGTCGTCCCCCGTCAGCTCCCGCGCGGCGCGCTTGGTGGCGCGGCCCACCGTCTCGGCGTTCTTGTTCTGCAGAGGTTCCACGGCGGCCTCCCGGGTGAAGACGTCCATCACCACCAGGCCGTACTTCGTCTTCCCCCGCGTGTTCTGGCTGAAGTCGATGAGGTCGGCCTGCAGCCGGTCGTTCGGCCCCTCGGCGGCCGACTTGCCCAGCGCGCGCGGCCGGGGCGCCTGCACCTGCCGGCCCACGTCGGCCTTCAGCGCCTCGAAGGCCATGGCCTGCGTCACGTCGAGGTCGCGCTGCCTCGCGAGTCGGTACAGCTTCCGCGGGTCCCTCACGTTGAAGTCGTCGGCCAGGTCCCTCAGCGCCTCCATTTATAACCCTGGACAGGGAGGCCTGAACACACCTACTTGTTGCCCCGGAGGCCTGAGACACCTACTTCTTGCCCCAAAAGCAAGGTTCCCTGGACGCAGGGAGGCCTGCACACCGCTACTTGTTCTTCGGCCCCCGCTGCGCCTGCCAGGCTTCCACCTCGTCCAGCCGGGCCTGGAAGCCCTTGCACACCCCCCACAGCACGCTGGTGAGGTGAGAGTAGTCGAGAGTAACCATCTCCGTGCCGTCGCTCCACCGGGCGGTGCCCGTCAGGTTCTTCCACTTCGCTCCTGCGAAGTCGTTGGAGGCGAAGCCCAGCCTCAGGTCCTCGTTCATGTCCGGGCGCTTGTACTGCTTGGCCTCCACGGAGTCGAAGAGCTGTGGAGCTGCCACGTCGGCCTCGGCCATCTCCGTCTTCACCCCTGTCCGACAAATTCGTGAAGCTCGTGTTGCAGACCACGTTGCCCGTGTTGCCCGCGATCACGAGGCATGAGCTGCTCTGTCTGCACCAGCGCTCCGCTCCACTGGTCGGACCCTCGCGCTCTGGTTGCCCAGCAGCCGCAGCTCCGGGCCGCTGTCGGGGGCCGCGCTGTTGTTGGACACTTGCAGCTTGCTCCAGCCCGCCCAGTTCTTCGTCAGGAAGAGATCGTCCGAGAAGTCTGAGGTGTTGGTCACGGTGAGCGTGTTGGAGGCGAAGAGCTGCGGCGCGGAGACCGTGCCCGAGCTCGTCACGTCGCCGCACACCACGCTGCCCGTCGACACTCCGCCGCTCGTGGCCGTGAAGGTGCAGTCCAGGCTCTCGCAGTCCAGCGGGCCCGTGGAGGCCGCACCGGTGATCGTCAGCGTGGCGCCCGTGAGCGCGCCGGTGGCTGCGAAGCTCGCCGCCGTCGCTGCGCCCGAGGCCGTCAATGTTCCCGTGGACACGTCGCCCACCGTGGTGAAGTTCCCGGCGTTGGCCGTGTTGTTGATGGTGAGTGTGCTGCCGGTGATTCCTGTGGCGGAGCTCAGCAGGCCCACGCTGGCCGCGCCGCTGATGCTCAGCGAGCTGCCTGACACGGCCCCCGTGGACGTCAGCGCAGCCCCGGCGACGGTGCCTGTGGCTGTGAGCGCTGCGCAGGAGACTGCGCCCGAGGCGTCCACGCCCGTGGTGAACACGTCGGTGCAGTTCACGTCGTTGCACAGCAGCTGGTCGCAGCCCACGTTGCCCTGCGCGGTGAGCCCGTCCAGCGTGGCCAAGCCCGTGAGGGCCAGCGAGTCCGCCAGCAGGTCCGTTACTGAGACAGAATCTCCCTCGAAGGCGCTGGCCCTGATCTGCATGCTGTACAGGTCCAGCGTTCCCGCCGACTGCTGCACCAGCCCGGGGATAGACCCGCCGAAGGCTCCGAAGTGCAGCTTCGCGATTCCGCCCGGCGGCACCGAGAAGTCCAGGCGCGCCGTGCTCCAGACGCCCTGCGAGGCCGTGCCGAGGAAGGTGCCGGTGACGCCCGCGTAGTCGGCCGCGCTGACGTACATCACCAAGTTGGAGGCCGTGCCCAGCCGGTACCGGCAGCCGAAGGAGTAGCGTCTCCCCGGCGTCAGCGTGTAGGTGCGCACGATGTTCCAGGCGAAGGCGCTCAGGGTCATGGCGTAGCCCTCCAGCTGGAAGCCTCCCACCGCGAAGCTGGCCGAGGCCACGGAGCTCTGGCTGTTGGAGCGCACCAAAAAATTTCCTAGCGTGGACGCTGCCATAACAGCAGCCTTGCTGGCCTACTACACCTCCTCACAAGTGGACACTCTGTTGGGAGACTACCGCACAGGGGCAGCGCAGGACGCGGAGACGACCAGCGCCATCACGGGCGCGCTGCTGGCCTACTACACCTCCTCACAAGTAGACGCGCTGTTGGGAGACTACCGCACGGCGAGCGCGCAGGACACGCAGACGCAGGCGGCCATCGCGGGCGCGCTGCTGGCCTACAGGACGGGCCCGGACCAGGACGTCTTCACAACCAACCAAATCACCTCGGCGCTGGTGGCGTACCGTTCAGCCGCAGACCAGGACACGGCGACGGCCTCGAGCATCGCAGCCGCGCTGCTCAGCTACTACACCATCGCGCAAGTAGACGGCCTCCTTGCGGGCAAGCTTGGAGTCACGGAGGCGGCCTCGGCCCTGCAAATAGCCGTACGCTTTCCGGACGACGGAGGGGCCGACGAGGTGGTGGCCGCCATAGGAGAGCAGATCCTGGGCCCCACGGACGTCTCACTGTCAAACTGGACGGTCCGCCCCAGCAGCGGCTGCAGCGTGGTCCTGGCCACGCACACCGCGGGAGTGAGCGTGGACGGCTACACCCTGACCCTGGCGGTGAACCCGTGGAACATCGTGCGCACCTACAACTTGACGCCCGGGCGAGAGCTCCTCTTCGCCTGCCGCTACCGGCTAGGCACGGCCTCCAACTTCGTGGTGTACATGTCCGAGCGGCTGCAGCGTGGTCCTGGCCACCCACACGCGGGAGTGAGCGTGCAACGGCTACACCCTGACCTGGCGGCGAACCCGTGACCCTGGCGGCGAACCGTGGAACATTGTGCGACCTACATTGACCCCGGGACGAGAGCTGCTCTTCGCCTGCCGCTACCGGCTCGGCACGGCCTCCAACTTCTGGGTCTTAATGTACGAGGAGACAACGTCTAAGACCCATTGTACGGCAGCTTCGTGGGCGACAGGGCGCCTGGAGCACGGCCAAGATGTACTTCACAGTGCCTCCGAACGGAGTTGCGAAGCTGCACTTCGGGGCGCACTTCCAGGCGCCGGGCCTGCCAAACCAGACGGCAGGAACGGTGGACGTCTACGGCCTCCAGATCCTGGACGCAACCCTGGAGACCGGCAACACAAACACAGCGGAGGAGGAGGACACGGCGGCCTCGGCACTGCTGCTGAAGCACGAGTTCCTCGACGGGGGGGCCGACGACGTCACGCTGGCCACCCTGCCGTGGAGTAGCAGTCGGCCGTGATGCTCAGCGTGTCGTCGCCGTTGGCCAGCGCAGCAGAGAGAGGAGCCATGAAGTGCAGGTTGCGAACGACGTTGCTTCCGCGAAGGAGCTCCCAAGTCGTGAAGCCCGCCCAGGCCGGCGCGTTAACAACTCCGCTGCCGGAAAGTTGCAGGGCGGCGAGCTCCGCGAGGATTGCGTCGAGGGCGCTCTGGAGCGTGGTCTCGCTGGCCGAGAGCGCGGCGTTCGTGGCGTATGAGGCCAGCAGCGTCGCGTCGGCCTTGGCCCCCTGGAGCGCCGTGATGCTGGCGTCCCGGCTAGCAAGCTGCGCTGCGACGAAGGAGGCCCAGCAGCGCATTTGCTATCTTAGTGTCTACCTCCAGTGGCGTGTCCAGCCCGTCCACCGTGGAGAGCAGGGAGGCCAGTGCGCTTGCGTCCGCCTTGCCGGCGAGGGCGGCGTCCAGGGCTGCCGTGGTGACTGCGTTTAGGAGGGCCGCTGCTATCTTAGAGTCCACCTCCGAAAAATTGTCGACGGTAGACTGCAGGGCGTACGCGGTCAGGGCGCTGGCGTCCGCCTTGGAGGCCTGCAGCCCCGAGATGGAGGCGTCTCCTTGGAGGCCAGCGCCGCGGCGGTGACGGCCCCCAGGAGAGCGTTGGCCACCTTGGTGTCCACCTCCAGCGGCGTGATCCTCGCCGCTATGTCTAGGGAGTGCTGGTCCACCACCGTCTTGAGGCCGTAGTTGGCGGCCACCGTGGCCAGCGTGGCGTAGTTGGCCGAGGCGATGGAGCCGTTCATGGCCGCCGTGGTGCTGTAGTTGGACAGCTTCAGGTCCACGCCGTCCGTGGCCACTACGCCCTCCAGCACGTCGAATGCCGACTGGTCTGCCTTGTTGGAGAGGCCCGTGGTCAGCGAGCTCTGCAGCGCGGCGATGCTGCTTCCGTGCGCGGCCACCTGCCCGTCCGTGGTGGCCAGGGCCGCCGCCGTTGCTAGGGGCGCAATTGCCGGCGCCAGCGCGCTGCTGTCCAGCTTTGAGGCCAGCTCTGCGGTGACTCTGTCGTCCAGGGACTGGATGGCAGCAGCGTTGTTGCCGGAGGCTGCCGTGTTCACCGCCAGGTCCGTTACTTGAGCGTAGGGCGTCAAAGCGAGGGCCAGCTGCCCTGCGGTGACGTGCGTGCCGTCAGTCACCTCTCCGTTGTCCAGGACCTCCGGGATTGCCGGTAACAGGTCCTTCAAACATGTTTACATATGTTCTCGCCGCCTTAGTCCAGTGGCTAAGGCGTCGGCCAAGGAGCTAAGCGCTTCTTACTGCCGCGAGCGCAGTTAAGTACCATTCAGTCCGTTCGGAGAAGTTTCCTTGTAATCCTCGTGATTCGGGGCTGGTGTGTTTGACACAACAACCCCTCACAGGCTAAGGCGCACCAGGCCCGCACCAGGCCCGCACCAGGCCCGCACCAGACCAGGCCCGCACCAGGGTTTTTTTTCGGATGTGACTCAATTTGATTTGGCCGGTGGCGCCGGTCACTGGATTTTTTTTTTCACAGTTGTCGGCTTAGACGACAACCTCGACATTTTTTTCCTGGGAAGAATCCCGACCTTGGCGCGGGCTCGGCAGGAGGCTTCTATGCCAGGCAGGTGGCGCGGCAGGAATGTGGCGCGCTAGGTATCGAAGCCTCCACGTTGGCGTGGAATTTGTAACGGGGCATGTCTGTTTTGTTCCGACATGCCCTACTGCGGGTTCCGCTTCGGGACTTCCGTTCTCGAAGTAAGCTTTTTGGCGTGGAATTTATAACGGGGCATGTCCGATTTTTTCGGAAATGCCCTACTGCGGGTTCCGCTTCGGGACTTCCGCCTCTGAAAAGGTGGTATGTCAGACATACCACCCCCCTAATCACGCGGATTACCACGAAGGCCACGGCCCTAAACGAAAGTGGCCTCTACAAGATCTTGCTGGGCTCCAATAATATTGCGCAGCCCGGAGCAGCGAACTGCGCGAACCGGGCAGGTGGCGCGGCCGGGGAGGCTTCAATGTTCGCCGAAACTGACGACAGTTTCGATTTTTTTTCCTGGGAAGAATCCCGACCTTGGCGCGGCTCGGCAGGAGGCTTCTATGCCGGGCGCGGCAGGCACCAAGCCGCCGAACCCTCACAGTCCCCCGGGCCCTTGCTATACGTGCTATATGTGCTATATCTCACAAGGCAAGCCACTGAACATCCACTCTCCCCCGGGTCCTTGCTATATGTGCTATATGTGCTATATCTCACAAGGCAAGCTGAACATCCACTCTCCCCCGGCTCCTTGCTATATGTGCTATATGTGCTATATGGTATAGAAGCCTGTATACTATACACATAGCATCTCCAACATGTACCAAATATGCATTGTATAGCACATATAGTACATTTTAAAGCGCGTACAGAATAATATAGCACATATAGTACATATAGCAAGGAGCTGGGGGAGAGTGGGGGTTCAGCGGCTTGGCGTGTAAGACCCATATAGCACATATAGCTCATATAGCAAGGAGCCCGGAGACTGTGGGGGTTCAGCGGCTTGGCGTGTAAGACCCATATAGCACATATAGCACATATAGCAAGGAGCCCGGAGACTGTGGGGGTTCAGCGGCTTGGCGCGGGCGCGGCTTCAATGCCGGGCAGGTGGCGCGGCCAGGAGGCTTCTATGCCAGGCAAGTGCGTGAACACAAGTGGCACTTGTGTTGAATCTCTCTCTTTAGAGGGGGTTTCCCAAATGGATTTTATTCTACTTGAGAGGCTCCTAGCACTCGTCCGTCCAGCATTTGACCTCGTCCTGAGAAGGATTCGAAGTCTAAAACGCTGCGTGCAGGCGTGAGGCTGCAAAATAATGACCCCTAGATATGCGCCGCAATTTGGCTCCAGGTTGCATTTCAAGCGATGTCAAGCTTTGCTAAAGGAAACTTTTTTCGGGGACCCCTTTTTTTGGGACCACTTGTTTTCTTTTTTTTTTGTTTTTTCTTAGCCCTGTAAAGGTTGGCTCGCTTGAAATGCAACCTGGAGCCAAATTGCAAGCATATCTAGGGGTCATTATTTTGCAGCCTCACGCCTGCACGCAGCGTTTTAGACTTCGAATCCTTCGCAGGACGAGGTCAAATGCTGGACGGACGAGTGCTAGGAGCCTCTCAGGTAGAATAGAATCCATTTGGGAACCCCCTCTAAGGCGCGGAGCGCCACCTCGCTGGTGGGCAGGTTCAAGTTTTCTTCCACTTCGTTCCTGCGAAGTCGTTTGAGGCGCAGCCCACCCAGCCTCAGGTCCTCGTTTCATGTACGGGCGCTGGTACACTGCTTTGGGCCTCCACGGAACGGAGTCGAACAGCTGCTGGAGCTCTGCCACGTCGGCCTCGGCCATCCTCACCCGGCTGTCCGTTTTTTTTTCTTGTTTTTTTTTTTTTTTTTTTTTTTTTTTTTTTTTTTTTTTTTTGTTTTTTTTTTTTTTTCTATCACCCTGCTGTCCGACAAATTCGTGAAGCTCGAGTTGCAGACCACGTTGCCCGTGTTGCCCGCGATCACGAGGCAGCCGGGGTTCCTCTGGTTCGTGGTCAAGGACAGCTGCGTCGAGAGGCTCTTCGTCTGCACCAGAGCCTCGTCGTTGATCATGATGAGCTCGCACTGGTGCGTCCCGCCGTCCCGCTCCAGGAAGACCCTGGCGCTCTGGTTGCCCAGCAGCCGCAGCTCCGGGCCGCTGTCGGAGGCCGCGCTGTTGTTGGCTGCAGCTTGCTCCAGCCCGCCCATCTTCGTCAGGAAGAGATCGTCCGAGAAGTCGGAGGTGTTGGTCACGATGAGCGTGTTGGAGGCGAAGAGCTGCGGCGCGGAGACCGTGCCCGAGCTCGTCGCGTCGCCGCAGACCACGCTGCCCGTCGACACTCCTCCGCTCGTGGCCGTGAAGGTGCAGTCCAGGCTCTCGCAGTCCAGCGGGCCCGCAGAGGCCGCCCCGGTGATGGTCAGCGTGGCGCCCGTGAGCGCACCGGTGGCTGCGAAGCTCGCCGCGGTTGCCGCGCCTGATGCCGTCAGCGTGCCCGTGGACACGTCGCCCACCGTGGTGAAGTTCCCTGCGTTGGCCGTGTTGTTGATGGTCAACGTGCTGCCCGTGATTCCGGTGGCTGAGCTCAGCAGGCCCACGCTGGCCGCCCCCGTGATGCTCAGCGAGCTACCTGACACGGCCCCTGTGGACGACAGCGTGGCTCCGGCGACGGCGCCTGTGGCCGTGAGCGCTGCGGGAAACGGCGCCCGAGGCGTCCACGCCCGTCGTGAACACGTCCGTGCAGTTCACGTCGTTGCACAGCAGCTGGTCGCAGCCCACGTTGCCCTGCGCGGTGAGCCCGTCCAGCGTGGCCGAGCCCGTGAGGGCCAGCGAGTCCGCCAGCAGGTCCGTCACGGAGACCGACTCCCCCTCGAAGGCCGAGGCCCTGATCTGCATGCTGTGCAGGTCCAGCGTGCCCGCCGACTGCTGCACCAGCCCGGGGATCGAGCCTCCGAAGGCTCCGAAGTGCAGCTTTGTGACTCCGCCCGGCGGCACCGAGAAGTCCAGGCGCGCCGTGCTCCAGACGCCCTGCGAGGGCGTGCCGAGGAAGGCGCCGGTGACGCCCACGTAGTCGTTGTCGGCCGCGCTGACGTACATCACCAAGTTGGAGGCCGTGCCCAGCCTGTACCGGCAGCCGAAGGAGTAGCGTCTCCCCGGCGTCAGCGTGTAGGTGCGCACGATGTTCCAGGGGAAGGCGTGACGTCGTCGGCCCCTCCGTCGAGGAACTCGTGCCTCAGCAGCAGCGCCGAAGCCGCCGTGTCCTCCTCCACCTCCGCCGTGTTGCCGGTCTCCAGGGTTGCGTCCAGGATCTGGAGGCCGTAGACGTCCACCGTTCCTGCCGTTTGGTTGGGCAGGCCCGGCGCCTGGACGTGCGCCCCGAAGTGCAGCTTCGCCACTCCGTTGGGCGGCACGGTGAAGTACATCTTGGCCGTGCTCCAGGCGCCCTGGTCGCCCGCGAAGCTGCCGTACAATGGGTCGTAGACGTTGTCTGCCTCGGACATGTACACCCCGAAGTTGGAGGCCGTGCCGAGCCGGTAGCGGCAGGCGAAGAGGAGCTCTCGGCCCTGGGGTGGGTTTTGTTTTTTGATGTCATTGTCAAGTTGTAGAGTAGTGCGCACGATTGTTCCACGGGGTTTCGCGCCAGGGTCAGGGTGTTTAGCCATCAAGCTCACTGCGCCTGCGGTGTGCGTGGCCCAGGACCACGCTGCATGCCGCTTGCTTTGCTGAGTTTGACAGCAAGGACGTTCCGTTGGGGCCCAGGATCTGCTCTTCCTGATGGCGGACCACACCTGTCGGCCCCTCCGTCGTCGGAAAGCGCATGTTCTGCAGCGCCGAGGGCTGCCTCCGGTGACTCCGAGTTTTGGCCGGCAAGGAGGGCCGTTTTCTTTTACTTTGTGCGATGGGGTTTTGTAGTAGCTGAGCAGCGCGGTCCCCTTGCAGATGCTCGAGGCCGTTGCCGTGTCCTGGTCTGCGGCCGAACGGTACGCCACCAGCGCTGAGGTGATTTGGTTGGTTGTGAACACGTCCTGGTCCGGGCCCGTCCGGTAGGCCAGCAGCGCGCCCGTGATGGCGGCCTGCGTCTGCGTGTCCTGCACGCTCGCCGCGCGGTAGTCTCCCAACAGCGCGTCTACTTGTGAGGAGGTGTAGTAGGCCAGCAGCGCGGCCGTGATGGCGCCGGCCGTCTCCGCGTCCTGCGCTGCCTCTGTGCGGTAGTCTCCCAACAGCGCGTCCACTTGCGCCGAGGTGTAGTAGGCCAGCAAGGCTGCTGTTATAGCGGCGTCAGTGCCCGCCGTGGAGTAGCAGTCTGCCGTGATGCTCAGCGTGTCGTCGCCGTTGGCCAGCGCAGCAGAGAGAGGAGCCATGAAGTGCAGGTTGCGAACCGTGACGTTACTATTCATGCGGACGAACGAGGCTCCAAGTCGTGAAGCCCGCCCAGCCGGCGCGTTAGCACGCGTTAACAACTCCGCCGCTGCCGGAAAGCTGCAGGGCTGCGAGCTCCGCGAGGATTGCGTCGAGGGCGCTCTGGAGCGTGGTCTCGCTGGCCGAGAGGGCGGCGTTCGTGGCGTATGAGGCCAGCAGCGTCGCGTCGGCCTTGGCCCCCTGGAGCGCCGCGATGCTGGCGTCCCGGCTAGCAAGCTGCGCTGCGACGAAGGCCTCGGTGGCGAGACCCAGCAGGGCATTTGCTACCTTGGTGTCTACCTCCAGCGGCGGGGGCGTGTCCATCCCGTCCACCGTGGAGAGCAGGGAGGCCAGCGCGCTTGCGTCCGCCTTGCCGAGGAGGGCGGCGTCCAGGGCTGCCGTGGTGACGGCGTCCAAGAGGGCTGTCGCTATCTTAGAGTCCACCTCCGAGGAAGTGTCCACGGCCGACTGCAGGGCGTAAGCAGTCAGGGCGCTGGCGTCTGCCTTGGAGGCCTGCAGGGTTCTAGGGGCGCAATCGCCGGCGCCAGCGCGCTGCTGTCCAGCTTTGAGGCCAGCCCGGCGGTGACTCGGTCGTCCAGGGACTGGATGGCAGCGGCGTTGTTGCCGGAGGCTGCCGTGTTCACCGCCAGGTCAGTCACTTGAGCGTAGGGAGTCAGAGCGAGGGCCAGCTGTCCTGCTGTGAAGTGCGTGCCGTCAGTCACCTCTCCGTTGTCCAGGACCTCCGGGATGTTGCCCGTGACAGGTCCTTCAAACATGTTTTCTTAGGAGTAGTCGTTACACGAATTCGTAACGATGGGTTGTTGCACTTTCGCAACGCTCCCTCACTTGAGTCGCTATGGAACATTCGGGGACAGGGTGGCGCTCTGGCGGACTGCGTGGGGCTGACGCAGACGTGAAGTTCCTGCTCCTGGGAGACTTCCGGCAGTTGCCGGCGTGCTGGACCTGATGGGAGTCCTCTATGGACATGAACTTTCCCCCCTTGGCATTGGTCAACGTCAGCCCAAGCGCAAGCTTCGGTCCGATGAAGTGCGAGTTTTCTTGGTCGTCGCAGCCGCATGCCGTTGCCACTCCGTCCGGCTTCACTTCCGCACGCCACAAAGCCCTTGGGTATCTTTCCGCCGGCCCCAATGAGGCGGGCTGTTTTGTGTTTGGCTACACCCATTTGGGGTCTACCGAAATCTATGTGTCTCCAATTGGAGCAGCTTTAGGCCTTCGGCGCCAGGGCCGGTTCGCCGCTGTTGACGGCCATGCGCTTGCTGTGCCCGCAGCCACTTCACAAAGTTGAAGATGCCGGGGTCGGAAGCGCATGTTCTCCGTAAGCTCGTGCTGTGCCCGCCGGCCAGGTCGCGGATGAGCTGGCTGTGCTCCAACGGCGCGCTGATGGGCCGCCCGGCCCAGCGGGTGTGCAAGGTGGGAGCCCGGCAACACGTGAAGTGCCGCCCACGTACAGGGGCGCAGCGTGAGGTAGCAGAACTCAGGTCCAGGCGGACGCGGTTCAGCGCCCTTGAGATCATTGCGCACCCCTTGATGTGGGTCATAGAGAACCCGGCCACCGGCTGCTGAAGACCCGCCCGTTCATGGAGCGTCTGACCTACTGCAAGTGCGGAACTCCGTACAGGAAGCAGACGCGGCGCAGGCCCGGCAGCCGCTGCGAGGCGTGGCAGCCGCGGCTGATGAGTCAGCCAATTGCGCGAGCTGCTCTACAGCGTTCCTGCTGCGCTGTGCAAGAGATTGCGCGCGCGGCCACGGAGGAGCTTGCGGAGCGGCTGAGCATTCCGGACTAGGCTTCCTCTGAACGGGCCACTAAACACCAAAAATGGCGAAGGGTGAAGAGGGACACCGGGCCTTTTTGTCATTTTTGTGGCGCATTCAAAAGAGGTGCCACTCTGCATCAAAATGAAGCAAAGTGGCACCGGGCCTTTTTTTCGTCGTTTTTGTGCACACTCCTCTCCGTCCTCGCGGGCACCACGACGACACGGTGCGCAACATCGACATCGGCCGCGTGGGCTACCTGCGCCACAGCTCATTGCCGGCTTTCCCACCGAGCGCGTGCCCAAGATGCCGCTGAGTGGTGTCAGCACCCGCTCGGGCGACCTTGCCCGGTTCACCTTCAGGGCCTGGACGGCACGATGACGGACCTGTTCATTTATTTGCTTGACTAAAAAAAGGCCCGGTGTCCCTCTGCTTCATTTTTGATGCAGCGTGACACCGCTTTTGAATGCGCCGAGGCTCTTTCATGGGGCTGCCCAGCTGCATCTGAGCTGTCCTCCTGCCTGGCCGCGCCGATGGGGGCCCCGGGTTGGCCAGCAAGTGGATCTTGGAGCCCGCGTCGTTGTCCCAAAAGGTCACAAACGCGCCCATGAGTTTCGTGAAGGCGCGCGCCACGGTGACGTTGTGCTCCGCCACGCCGTTCGGGACGCTGGACTGCTGCGTGTGCACCGTGGGGTAGCTGAACACCAGGGACCTGCCTGACAAAAGCACCCGGTTGAAGGACTCCACCAGCGCAGGGTCCAGGACGACCTGGGAGGCCAGAACTCGGACGTTCTGGATCTCGAAGTCGGTGCTCAGCGTGGCCCCCGCCGGGTGCGCCCCGGCGTTCTCGGACCACAGCGCAGTGGTGGCGTCCGCAAACTCATTTTCTATCACCAGGTTCAGCTGCGGCGGCAGCATCTTCCCGCAGCGCAGGATGCCCACCATGGTGGGGCGCAGCAGCACGTCCGCGTAGCCGCCCTGGTGCACCGCGCGGGTGATGCGCGGGTCGTTCACTTCGTCGAAACCCTCCATGCCCTTGTTGCGGTTGTACTCTGCCCTTCAGCAGGTCATGCGCGGCCACGGTGCGGCCGTAGTAGTTGATGTCGTCGCAGCGCTGGCCGTTGGCGAAGACCTGGACGCGCTGGACGAAGCAGGCGGGGTTGGGCGTGGCCGGGGCCAGCGGGTTGGTGCCGTCCGTGTTCCTGACGCGGAAGGCGATCTTGATGGACTCGGGGTCGATGAAGGACGTGCCGATGGTCAGCGGGATGCGGCAGACCCTAGAGGTTGTGGGGGAGAAGGAGCTCAGCGAGCTGGGGAAGTACTGCACGTCATGCCGCGCCGTCACGTAGCTGTTGCTTGTTTTCAGCTTGTAGTCCAGGCTCTGCATCAGCTCATCGGGCTCCGGCGGTGACTACCTCCATGCTTGTTTATATACACGCATTTTGACTCGTACGGCGAAGGAAAAACTGTTCTTCTTCTAGGCCCTATATCAATATAGACCCTGGAAGAATAGTGTTTTTGTGGCGCAAAACCGTGCAAAAAAGCTATTAGTCCAGGTGTATATTCATATACGGCCTGACTAATAGCATTTTGCAGCGCAAAACCGTGCAAAACATGCTATTCTTACAGGGCCTACATTTGCGTAGGCCCTGGAGGAATAGCATTTTGCAGCGCAAAACCGTGCAAAAACAACCGTCCAACCGAGGAGGAGTGAATGTCTCGCGCCAGCTGGTCAAAGCTGGGCGGAGGCAGGCTCCGGGTGACTGCCCGGAACTGGAGCTCGCCCGCGAGCTCGGGACTGGGGCAGGTTGGACTGCGCCTGCACGCGGAAGCCGGACTGCGAGGAGGCGCGGCTGCTTGCGGGGCTGCCGGACGTGCTGCTGCCGGCGCGCAGCGTGAAGTGGGGCTGAGTGGCGTCATTCATGTTGTTGGCGGACGGGACGTCCTGCACGGCCGCGTCCTCGCTGCCCTGCTGGGGCCGGAAGAGCGTGTTCTCCAGCGCCCAGCCCGTGCCGCGCGCGAGGCCGTAGGCTGCGCCGCCCGCAATGCCCACGGCCAGCCCCGCCGTTGCCGCCGCGCCAACTCCCACCGCGCCAGCCAGCGTTCCAGCAACCTCGCCCGCGGTTGGCGCCAGGGCTGCTGCTCCCCCCAGGTACCCAAAGGCTCCGCCCACGCCCTCAGCGGCAACGGCAACCTTGCCCTCCTCCGCAGCCACGGCCGCCGTCTCCTCAACGGCCTGCGCCGCGCCGCGATCCACCTCCTGCGCGCGCTGCCCCGCCTCATCCAGGAGGCGATCCACATCACTGGGCCGGCCTATGATCTGCGCCTGGCCCGGACGGGGCAGCACGTTTCTCTAGCATGCGCAGGGCGCGCTGCTGCTCTCTTGTGAGCTGAGGCGCCTCAACCGGTGGTGCCTCAGCCGGTGCCTCCGCTGGTGGTGCCTCCGCCGGCGCCGTCTCAAGTGGAGGCTTTGGCTTGCGCTTTGGAGCAGCCGGCTCAGTAGGCTCCTGCTTCGGTTTGTTCTTGCTCCCAGGGGGCCTGCCCCGCCGTTTCGGTTCCGGCGCGTCCGGCGCAGCGTCCGGCGCAGCGTGCACCTCTGGCGCCTCTTGCACCTCTTGCGCCTCCGGCGCCTCTTGTTCGGTCGGCTCCATTTAATTATAAGTGGTCAAGATATAACACGAACGACAAAGACGACCCGCGAAGCCGGACGACGTTGCCGCCCAGGTCAGGCGGAAGCGCATGTGCCTCAGGGTAACCGGGCCCCTGAGGGCCATGAAGTGCCCGTCGTCTGAGCCCGTCTCCACAATGGTACCCACTCCGCTCTTCAGCGTGCTGCGCCATCATCCGGACAAACTCAAAGACCTGCTGCCCGCCGGAGACAAAGCTCGGGCTGCTGGTCGTTCAGAATGAGCCTGTTGCCGTCGTAGGCAACGCTCAGACTGTTTGTGGTCTCGCTATAGGTGGCGGTGGCAAAGTTGGAGCAGTGTACGCGCCCTCGGGCAACAACGCCCAGTTCAGCGCGGCGTCAACCCAGTAGAGGTAGCGGCCCCGGTCCGTGGACAAAAAGCTGTCGGCCAGGCGGATCTTGTAGACGGCGAGCCGGGCGTCGCTCTGCAAGTGCAGGGACTCTCCCAGGTCTACCTCAAAGTCGCTGTCCGAGCCGGCCACTCTCTTGCGGCTGTCCACGTAGATAGTGGTCATCCTTTTCTTTAGGAACCCGCCCGTCCGGCGGACGACGGGCGGCTGGACGGCTGCGACGGAGGTGCAGCAGGAGATGTTTTCACACCTCGCGTTGATCAGCGTGGAGCTGGCGAACAGCTTCTGGCCCAGGAAGCTGAGCGCCGCCCCCATCGGCGTCTTTTTCAAGTGCAAAACGCTCTTCAAAGCGCTGGTAGAACATTTCATTCCTCGGCTTCAGGTAGTAGACGAAGAGGAAACTGTAGGGTTCCGTGTTGCCTGCTCATACAGCCGGTACAGCTGCTCCTTCGGCAGCAGGGCGCTGAGCTCCTCCACCACGGCGTCCAGCTCGTGCTGGTTGCGCAGCCTCCAGCAGCAGAGGAACTGCATGTTCACCCGCACGGCTGCGCTGATTAGTCTCAGCTTCTGCGAGCTCACCCAGGTGCTGATCTGCATGTGCCGGCCCCTGATGAAGAGAGTGTCCAGGGCGCCGTTGGGTCTGTGGAGCTGAGGCACATCCGCTAGGTCGTCGCAGATTATCAGGACCTGATACAGTTTCTTCATCTCCAACTTCTTTGACGCCTCCGTGATCTTGCGCTGCTGCTGGATGATGCGCCGCAGCGCCGCCTCGTCCCACTCGTCCCAGTACGCTTGCTCCCGTTCAGTATTCACTCCCAGGTCCTGCTCGATGTACTTCTTGACGGGAATCCAGCCGTCATCGATGTCGATGGACGGGCTAAAGATGTAGATCCTTTCGAAGACGCCCCTGTACTGCTCCAGAACAGGCTGATCAGAGTGACGGTTTTCCCCAATTTGGAAGGTCCGAGGAAGATACCTGTGCATGGGACCAGGGGCACCACGGGGTCCGAGGGCTGTTTGCTGCTGTATTCTGGCGTGGGGAAAAGCTTGATCTTTCCCATACCTTTGTTTTTACTTCCCAAATTCGATGCAGGGAACCGGGCGGCGAGTATGTCAGCGCGTCGCTGTGTACCACCCCGCTGACACAGTTTTTTCCGGGCAATCCGGGCGGCAAGTCCGTCAGCGCCCTGCTGTATAGCAGTGCGCTGACGGAGTTTTCCGGGATAAAACCAAAGGGCTGGTACGCAGCTGAAGTACTTTGGAAGTAAGGCGTGGTTAGCTCCTCACATGGACCGGCTGCTGGGGGACGTCGCCGTGCTTCACTCTCCCTTCTTCGGTTCTGGAAAGCTGGAGTACTACCTCGCCGCCCGGGCCTGGAGGTGCGCGGCGTCGACGCCTTCGAGCCCGTCGCAAACCTGCACCGCTGCTACTTGAGGCGAGACCCGGTCTTCCTGCGCTCCTTGGTGCGCCTGGTGGGGCGCAGGGTGGACAGGCGCTTCTACTTCGGGCACCTCCTGCCGGGCGCGCTGAGAGGCCGCGCCGGGCGCCGGGCTGCCTGCGCGTACGTCCTGCTGCGCAACAGCTTCTCGGGGAAGTGGGGCTCCTTCGCACAGCAGCGGTTACTGGCACTGAGCAGCGTGCGGCATCTCCAGCAGCCACCCTGCAACGTGACCGTGCGGCGCCAGGACGCGCTGGCCTACCTGCGGGCACTGCCCTGCCCGGCGCACCAGTGCATCTACGCAGATCTTCCCCGGCCGCAGCATGAACTACTATGGTACGCGAGGGGGCCACGACCTGGTCTTTCACACGGAGCTGCGAGACGCACTCTTCGCGAGCGGCCTGCCCTTCGTCGTCAGCGTCAACGACGTGCCCGAGGCCCGGGAGCTCTACAGCGGGGCCGACTCCATCACAAGCCTGTGCTCGGGCAAGAACAGTTCCAAGCCCGAGCTGCTTGTAGTGCACCGGGGCAATCCTGCTGTCAGCACAGGAATGGTTGAAGCAATCCTGTTGCCACAGCAGGATTGACAAGAGCAATCCTGTGCCCAGCCCAGGATTGACGGCAGGGTGTGTGAGTGGTAAAAAACACTCTGTCAGCGGCCTGGCAGGGAGCAGGCCGCTGACGGACCTTCGGCGCTGGCCCCGGTGATTGGTTTTTCGGGCAAAATACCGAAGTCGGAAATCCGACCTCGCTGAGAGACCGAAGTCGGAAATCCGACCTCGGTCTATACCGAAGTCGGATTTCCGACCTTGGCGCGGGCTCGGCAGGAGGCTTCTATGCCAGGCAGGTGGCGCGGCCGGGCTCCGATGCCGGGCAGGTTCGCCGAAACTGTCGGATTAGACGACAGTTTCGATTTTTTTTCCTGGGAAGAATCCCGACCTTGGCGCGGGCTCGGCAGGAGGCGTCTATGCCGGGCAAGTGGCGCGGCCGCTCTCTCTTTAGAGGGGGTTTCCCAAATGGATTCTATTCTACCTGAGAGGCTCCTAGCACTCGTCCGTCCAGCATTTGACCTCGTCCTGCGAAGGATTCGAAGTCTAAAACGCTGCGTGCAGGCGTGAGGCTGCAAAATAATGACCCCTAGATATGCGCCGCAATTTGGCTCCAGGTTGCGTTTCAAGCGAGGTCAAGCTTTGCCAAAGGAAACCCCTTTTCCCTTTTTTTTTCGGGGACCCCTTTTTTTGGGACCCCTTGTTTTCTTTTTTTTGGTTTTTTCTTAGCCCTGCAAAGGTTGGCTCGCTTGAAATGCAACCTGGAGCCAATCTAGGGGTCATTATTTTGCAGCCTCACGCCTGCACGCAGCGTTTTAGACTTCGAATCCTTCGCAGGACAAGGTCAAATGCTGGACGGACGAGTGCTAGGAGCCTCTCAGGTAGAATAGAATCCATTTGGGAAACCCCCTCTAAAGAGAGAGCATGTCCTGTGCTGGATCTTGAGCTTTCAGAGGATTTGTACCATGTTGGCTCCTTCGATTATATCTTTGGATCTTGGTCACCTTGGGAGCACGTTCTCACTTTGGGAAGCTCTTACTAAGACGCTTTTGCATTTCTGTGATCTCGCCAGCAGTCAAGCCCGAATGGCGCTTTCGATTGATAGCGTTTTGCTCCGAGGTACAGCTATTGACTTCCATGCAAAAACCCAAACTAGAAAACGTACTCAAAGGTCTCAGAAGGTGGTCACCATGGTCCAAAGAACGAGGAGGCCATCCGAACCAAATCCAGAAAATTCACATCCAAAGGTGCCTCCGAAGCTTCGCCGTCAAGAAAACAACTCTCACGAGAAGAGCAAGTGGAAGAAAAGTCACAAGCCTCAGAAAAATAACATCCGCTGCGATCCTCACAGTCACAACCATGCCGGCACCGATGAGGATGAAAGACTGGTTTATCACGCCCTTGACAAGGATCTTGCACAAACAGGGAAAAAACCCAAGGCGCACTCCAGAGTCAATCTCCCAGAAAACTGCAAAATTCCTGGATAAAAGGGTCACAACGGGTGGACGGCCTCAACAATATCATCGACAGAGAGCGCGAGCGGCTGGGGAGCGCGTTGAAGAGCTGGAGCGCAGCAACAGAATTCTCCGCCAGCGGGTGGCGCACCTCGGCGAGATCCTTGTGCGAGCGCACAGATAAGCTCAAGGACGCGCGAGCAAAAAAAAAGATCTCGCTTTCTTGCTTTCTCGCTTTCTCGATAATGCTTATTCGATCCGCCGCAGCTGCTCAAGATGACTTTCTCAGCGGCCTCCGACGCGTGCAGACATGGCTTGGAGAAGCCCGCCGCGTTGGTGGAGGATACGCTCCCAGCCTTGCAGCTGCTCTGATGGCCCAGCGGCCTCCCTGCGACATGCAACGCAAGCGGCCTCGCGAGGACGCGCTGCTCGAGGCCGAGCGCTCGCACCAGCGGCATCTCATCGCGCAGCTCGATTGGAAGCTCCTCGGCAAAACTCTGTGCCGCGGAGCGGGAGCGCAAAAACAAAAATCCCCGCGGCGCGGGAGGCGCTGGGCCATCAGAGCGGCCGCAAGGCTGGGAGCGTCATCCTCCACCAACGCGGCGGGCTTCTCCCTCAGCCAAGTCATTTTGAGCAGCGGCGGATCGAATCATCGAGAAAGCGAGAAAACGAGAGCTCGGGATCTTTTTTTTTGCTCGCGCGTCCTCAAGCTCATCTGTGCACGAGGATCTTGCCAAGGTGCGCCACCCGCTGGCGGAGAATTCTGTTGCTGCGCTCCAGCTCTTCAACGCGCTAGCCGCTCGCGCTCTCTGTCGATGATATTGTTGAGGCCGTCCACCCGCGCTGGTTGAAGCCGTGCGCCCGGAGCGTCTTCCTTTGCTGTTGCGCAACTTCGCCCGCCGCCCGTTCCACGCCCCGGCGCTCGGCCCGCGCGTAGCGCAGCTGCCCCTCCTGCGCCTGCCTGCGCTCGCCTGGCCAGTTGTTGAAGGCCCGCGCCTCCTCCAGTGCCTCACGAGGATGCACTGCTCGAGGCCGAGCGTAGTAGTAAGGAAAGGCTGCTTATACTACCCTAACTATTTGCAAAGAACAAGACAGGAAAGCCAAAAGAACAATACCTAAAGAAGGTTATGTAAATGCGCAATGGTTTTTAAATAATATCACTAATCAATGTAATTACTGCGGATGCGGTTTTTCTATGGATATTAAAAACGGTAATATAATGACAAATCTGACAGCGCAACGTAAATCAAACGAGTTGTCACACGAACTGAATAATATTATTCCTTACTGTGTTAGATGCAATTGTAGTTGTAAATGATAATAATTTAAATAATATTTTAATATTTCTTGTAAAAAAAGTATTTAAAGAAATAAAAACTATATAGATTATAATAGAAATGGTGGAAACCGAAATCAATAATTATATCAATAAGAAATGCTACGACTGTTGCCACTTCAAAAAGGAAAATATGGAATTATATAGATTGAATTTTTCCTAATGGAATAGTCAATAATATTATTGATTATTCTTTGGGTAAAGAAAATTTATGTAAAATTTGTAGAAATTGGAGATATTACCAAGAAGCAATCGAATGTAATTTGGATACTAAAAGGTTTAATGAAAGAAATGTTGAAGATGACATTTTGATATTTTTAACTGTGTTTAAAATACCACCTTATGATTATGTTAGAGCATTTATGAAAATCAGTAAGAAAAAGTATGAAATGATTGACTGCATATTATGGATGTTGGAGTATCAAAGAAAAGAAGGGTTTGATGTAAAAAAATCATTAAATCATATATTGAAAGTGTTAAAAATATAGTGAGAGATATTGATATTATTTTTAAAATGATGTATGAAAGAGGTAAGATATATCAATTAAATAGTTATCCTGAACTAAAATTATAATCATACTATGATTATAACATTTATACCCTTATATGTTATAATTATAATGTAAGTATAGCGTTTTATATATTGAAGATAAAATCCTACAAGACGGGCCATGCGCAACTCCGGAATATCCAAATTCTGAAAAATGATTAATTATTAAGTCTCCTCATTGAATTATTGAAAATGTTGTTTCTTATTGAATAATTCTTCTTAAAATGCTATATATATTTATCTCTTTTGAAAAAAATATATTTTGTAAAATATTTTGGAAAATGTGTTGCTAAGCCCTGCATGTACCGTGAGTAGGTTTACACGTTGTAACTGGGTTGCATGTGTTTACCGTTGTACAGCGACGGTTTGCGAGATGAACCGCTTGATTGGACAAGGCGTTTGACAGCTCAAAATGTTAGCATGGTAGCGGAGCTCGGTAAGACACTGAGCGTCCGTGTAGCGGCGCCATTTGATTGTTTGCTTTTACAACTGTGCTGGTGAGAGTGATTGCTCGTTAGACGGGCGATTTGGCGAGTGAGTCTTCGGAAGGCTTACGACATGGCGGATGGCGGAGCGACGTCATCAAGCCCGACTGCTGGAGATCCTATGGCACAGATTCGTGCAATGGCCGAGCTTGCTATAGAGACAGCGCGGGCAAATCAGGCGGCAATTCAGAGTTTGGTGCAGTTGCAGGCGGACAATTTGACGGCGCAGGCAGCACGGAATGTGAGCGGTCAGAACATCTCGGGAAAAGATCTGGTACGCATTTTGAGAAATCCGGAACCGTTTGTTGCAGCCTCGAGAGAGGAAGAATTAGCGAAGTGGAAGAACTGGAGTTGGACATTCGAGCGTTGGTTGAGTGCCCTTGACCCTGGTTTTCATGCAGATTTGGAATCGCTGCGTCGGCAAGAAGGACCAGTTTTGATGACTGATATGAATGAAGAAACGGCCTCTAGAAGCAATTTGCTTTACTCATTGCTTGCTGGCATTCTACATGAACGAGGCATTCAGATACTGAAGACTGTTCAAGATTTGAATGGCTTTGAGGCTTACAGACTGATAAGCGAAGACCTGCAGCCCCTGGCCCGCACACGTGCATTGGCTTTGTTGCAAGCAATCAACAATTGGCCTGCTTTTTCCATGAAACAAGGACTTAGCAATCAGTTGGCGAGGTTGCAGGAGGCTGAACAGGAGTACGAGCGTGTTACGGCGAGCAAGTTGAGTGATAACCATCGCATGGCAGTTTTGCTTAGATGCTTGAGTGGCCCTTTGAAAGCCTATACGAACATTGTGGTCACTGAGGGCTCAAGCTACGCACAGCTTTGCAGTTTGGTACAACGTTGGGAGACTTCGCAAACGAAATGGACAAATCCCATCAATAGCATGTTCCACATCAAGGACCAACCACACAGCGAGGACACCAGTAGCAACATGGAAGTTGACAGAATCAAAGGTGGCTGGAGCAAGCAAGGAAAAGGCAAGCACAAAGGTGACCAGAAAGGCAAGTTCTCAAAAGGAAAGTTTGAGAAAGGTGGAAAATCCAAGGGCAAAGGCAAGTACAACAACAGCAAAGGCAAGGACTCGAAAGGCAAGACAGGAAAAGGTTCCTATGACATGGTTGCTGGCGATGCTTGCTTGTACTGCGGCAAAACCGGACACTGGAAGCGGGATTGTTTTCGCTACAAGAAAGATCAGGAGCAGGCGAGCGTGAAACGTGCTGAGGAGTCGCATCAGGCCTACATGGACCATGGCACTTCATCGGCTGCTTCCACTGTCAGTGCGGGAAGCGGGTCGACCTCAGGCACGTACAAAACAGCTCAGCAGTCTGTGAGAAGGGTGTACTCTATGGATGATGGTACAGATGTTTTTGATTTGACAATTTATGAAATGGACGACGAGCAGGAAGATGCTGCATTTTATGATGTGCGCATGATTTCATTTGCAGGTATTTCGGATTCTGCAGTGCAATGTTTCGATATGACTTATTCGGATGGAGATTCGCAGTGGGAATGTGCAGAAGATATCAAATCAGGATTTGCGGATGTGTCGGTCTCAGAGTGTGCTGCATACATGTCAGATGGTACAGAAATGTGTGGTACATCTATGTGCAGTTTTCATGGGTTTTCAGATGAGAATGGAATTGTTCGTGCAGTGCATGGTGATTCAACTGCAAACCCAATAGACGTGATTCTGGACAGTGGTGCAGATGTGAGTGTGCTTCCTGAAGAAATGAGTTGTGTAGGTTCGCGAGCACCTGCAAGGCCTGGGAAGTTCAAGGACGCACAGGGAAATGACCTCAGAATCAGCCAGAGACGGATTGCAGACATTCATGTGCAGTCGAACAAGGGGACGTTTGTTTTGCGGGAGGAGTTCATAGTTGCGAAGGTATCTCATCCCTTGGTTTCTGTGTGCAAGCTTTTGCGAGCTGGCTGGCAGGTCGGTACTAAGGAGGGAGAGCTTAAGCTGTGGAACCAGGAGGTGGAATTGCCCGCATTCTACAAGCGAAACTCCTTGTGCATCTCAGGATCCATTTGTGCCGTCAGTCAGAGCACAAACGAGAGCGATCAGGTGGCGGCCACGTTGAGGCCTGAGCTTGCGGAGATTGGAACAGGTTGGAAGCAGATTAGCGAGACATGCTGGGCAGTGAAATTGTTCGGCATGAACTTCACAGACGTGGCAGCAAGCTTGCCGCAAGCTGAAGTGGACAGAAGGTCTAGTCTCATCAAGCAGAATGGGAGATGGTGGGTGATCGAGTTTGCAGATCGTTTGAGTGAGCTTGAGAATGTTTCAGGTAAGATCGAAGAGCTGCAGGAACCCACCGAGATGATCACTCTTGCTCATCGAGGATATCAGGACACTGCGAAGCTGGGTTTCGATGTTGAGTCGTTGGCATCATTTCCGGGTGGATCTGCATCAGAAAGCAGTGCGGTGAATGTTCAGGCAGAAGCTGCACCTAGTGACAGGCCTGCGGAACAGGTCAATCCGGCTGAGGAATCTGCAGTGGACGAGGCTCGGAGAGATGTGCCAGCGGAAGCGTTGGTTCCAGTTGATGAGCATGAAGTGGAGTTTGAAGGCAAGATGTTGACAATGAAGGACACTTTGTCGGTCTTGAGGGAAGCACGCACGAAATGTGGTATTGGAAAGTCTGGAGGCAAAGCAATTATTCTGAAGCGTCTGGGTCAGCACTTGAAGGCGCAAGACATGAGAGCAGAACAGAAGGTGCACAATGAGATCTTGCAGGGAGAGAAGCGAAAGGCGAACTCTCCACCAGGTGTGGCTTCACCTACACCGGAGCAGGTGGCTGAGCATGAACTCACGCATTACCCTTTTCAGGCGTGGTGCCATCATTGTGCTGCATTCAAGTCTAGGCAGGACAGACATGAGAAGGTTGACGATTCAAGCAGAGCGTTGCCTTTGGTCAGTGCAGATTTTTGTTACACGTCACGGGATCCAGAGAAGGCGGGGTCTCGGGACGACAAAGCGTCCAAACTTTGTTGTTTGGTTTTGCACGACCGCGACAGCAAATGTGTGCATGCAATCCCAACGGCTCAGAAAGGCGGAAAGTGGATGACACAGTTGGTTGTGGAGGTGTGCAGATTTATGGCTTACCTCGGATATCCAGAGCTAATTTTCATGACAGATGGAGAGCCTTCTTGTGTTAATTTGCAGGAGCGAGTGCAACAGCACAGGCTGAAGTATGGCACAAAGACTGTTTTGCGGAACAGCCCTCGCGGCGACCATCAGGCGAACGGTGCAGTGGAGCGGTCAGTGCAAGCGTTGAGGTACCAGTGCAATATTTTTCTTGCGCAGATGGAGGAAGGTTGCAAATGCAAAGTTGGCACTTTTGACCCGCTTCATGCATGGGCATGGTTGCATAGCGCATGGACCCACAATCGTTTTCATGTGGTGCAAGGTATGACGCCATTGGAGCGAGTGTCATCAGGCTCGATTTACCGAGGCAAAGTTGCAGTGTTCGGTGAGTGCGTTTTGGCTTACATGAAAGTGCAGAACAAAGGAAACCCTTCCTGGGTAAAGAGCATATGGCTGGGCAAGGTCGCCACAAGCGACATGCATCTGGTGTCAACTGCCGGAGCAGGATTCCATGGTGGAGGACTGGTTTTGACGCGGTCCATCAGGCGTCTCACAGCAGAGCAAAAGTGGGATGCAGGGCTGGCAGCGACACTCAGAGGCATGCCCTGGGATTACCCTGGTTACCTTGGAGGGCATCTGGGATTTGGAAGGCCAAGGCGTGCTGCTGAACCCGAACAGGGTGTTGATGGTGAAGAAGAGCGATTTATGGAGGTTTTACCGGATGAAGCCCCTTTGGAGGCGTTGGTCATCGGTTTTCCAGGTGACAGAGCAACTGGAGAAGGGGATGAAGCTGCATCAGACCCGGAAACGGTGGTCCCGGACGAGCACACTGCAACGCATGCGAAAAAGGGTGAGTCCGAGGATCAGACCGAGCAAGCAGCGAATCCGAGAAAGAGTGCGTTCAAAGCAACCGATGTGGTGCAACCAAAGGTGAAAGCGGCTAAGATAGAGCCCAAGGTCAGGGTGGTTCCACCTGAGAGCGCTCGTGTGCGGGACCCGGCGGAGGAAGAGCGTGACTCCAAGGCAGCGAAGGTGTCGCCAAGAAAGGAGAGGAGGTTGAATGCCCCACCGATGTATGCGGGCGAGCCTACGCCCGGAGAAGGCGGGGATTCTTCTGCTTCAAGGCCAGGAGTTTTGTGTGTTGTGGGAGATGAAGAGCTGCGTCATGAGGACGAGGTGCTGGAATTGCCCTATGATGAGCAGCAAGCTGAGACGATGATAGAACATGACCACCAGCTCACTGGCGATGTGGAGGCAGAGCAAGGATTCCAGAGTTCGGAAGGAGATTCGGAGCTTCTTTACTACCCGGTTGGTCCCGGAAACGAGGAGCCACAGTTGGCGGAAAGTGATTTGCAGGCGATAGATGATCTCGCTAAGCGCATGGAGGTGGACAGGCTCATGACCATGGGTGTTTTGAAGCCCATAAGCAAGCAGGAGGCGCAGGAGTTGGGATTGAGAACACTCAGTACGAAGTTTGTGACAACTTGGAGGCCGAAGCAGCGAGACCAAGTTCCGAAGTTTATGCGTCGGGCTAGGTTCGTTGCTCGAGAATTCCACTGGGATGATCCGCATCGGCAGCAGCTATTTGCACCGGCGACGTCAAGTTTGGTCATTCGATTGTTGCCGGCCCTGTTTCAGCACAAGAAAGCAGAAGGTTTGGACTGGGTAATGATTGCGTTGGATATTAGCGATGCATATTTGACGGTGGATCAGCAAATCCCCACTTGTGTGAATGCATGGATTGATGGGGAGGAATGGACATTTCAGCTGGACAAGCTGTTGCCAGGCCAGCGTGACGGTGCGCGTGAGTGGCATGGAGCATTTACAAGTTTCTTGAAGGAGAAAGTTGGAGTGGAAGGTTGCACAGTTTGCCCTTCAGTTTTGCGAGCAGCTGAAGGATTCAATGGTCTTTTGCATGTGGATGATATGCTTGGAATTGGCACTGAGGAATTTATCATGGAGAGACTGGTGCCCGCAGTGGAAAGTAGATACAAGGTGACGTATGAGCTCATCACCAAGCCCGGACAGGAATTGTGGTTCTTGAAGAGGAAGCTGATTTACCATCGCTCACTGCGGTTTATCATTCAGCCCCACCAGAAGAATTTCACAAAGCTGTTCGAGCTGATGAATATCAATCCGGACAGGGTGAACCCGAGGGCAGCACCAATGCCTAGTGGAGGTGCTCAAGCCAAGCTGGCGGACAATCCTTTGGAGGAACCTGCGGCAAGCAAGTACAGGGCGGCGGTTGGACTGTTGCTTTACATGAGCACGGACTTGGTTGATTGCCAGTATTGCATCAAGACGTTGGCACAGTGCATGGCTCATCCAGGTGCTGAGGGGTGGAAACTTTTGAAACATCTCTGTTTCTACTTGGTTGGTGTGAGGTACAATGCAATTTGTTTCGAACAGCCGATCTTGTATGATGGGCTAGTGGTGAAACGCTGTCCTTCTGCGATGGTCTTGGAGACATGCACGGACAGTGACTGGAGTGGAGACAAAGAAACCAGAAAGTCGACGTCATCTGCTGTGTTTCTGCTCAACAAGAATTGTGTGTACAGTTCTTCGCGATCTCAACGCACAATATCGCTGAGCAGTGGCGAGGCTGAATATTACTCCACGGTCAGTGCTGGTTGTGATACGATCTACCTTTCGAACATTATCAAGTTTTGCACTTATGAGAAGCCTCTTGGGGTTTATTTGCTTACTGATTCGTCGGCAGCAAGGGGAGTGCTTGGAAGGATTGGTGCAGGTCGTATTCGCCATCTGAGTGGCCAGGTGTTGTGGATGCAGCAGCGAGTGGCGCAGGGCTTCTTCCAGGTCGGAACAGTTCCCACGGCAACAAATGTGGCGGACTTGAACACGAAGGCTTTGAGCCGAGATCGGGTGAAAATCTTGAGTTTCTTGGTCGGCATTGTGTCGGGCGAGTTTGAAGGTGAGACAGATGAATGGGTGCCTGTAGGTTTTGGTGAGTACGAGGCGCTCATGATGAAGGAGAACACGAGGTTGGCCATCCGGAGGATTAGATCTGACTTGAGTGGCCATGAGGCGTTTGAAGGCGCGAGCAACACGTCGATCACACAGACAGCAAAGAGAGTTTTCGCAGCTGGGATGATCAGTATTTTGCTGCAGCCTGGCGGTAGCGAGAGGATCGAGCACGACGCCTTGAGCAGTGACAACGAGCCCAATGGTTTGAACAATCAGCATGATTGGATCATGGATGCGATTTTCTTTTGCAGCATTGCATGGATGGCAGTTTGCATTTCTTATGGATGTTTTTACTTGATGACATGTGGCTACGGCAAGATTTCAGCGTGGTTTGGAACTGCGAAAGTCAAAGAAGAGAACATTGTGTTCATTACGGAGTTTGGGAAGCATTATCACAGACGGAATTGCAAATGGCTCGTGAAGAGCATTCTCATCGAGATTGAGGAGAACACTGCAGTTGCAAGGCGCTACAAGAAGTGCCACACTTGCCATTACTTGGACAGAGCTGAGTTTGGTGGCAAGAGCAGCGCAAGACAGGGTGCAACTGCAGCAAAGCGGAAAACAAAAGATGGCGGCGTGCGATAACGGAGTCCCGGTTTACTGCAAAGGGCTTGGAGCCTAGGTTTCACTTGAGCTTTTGTTTGAGAAGCTTTTATGCCAATGGCAGGCTATCTCATTCGCTCGTTCGCATCAGGACTGTTGAAATCTCAGCTGATGCGTGGAGAAAAGGATGAAATCCCTTTCCATGTGGATTTCAAGGCATTTCAAGGCGGGGTGCTAAGCCCTGCATGTACCGTGAGTAGGTTTACACGTTGTAACTGGGTTGCATGTGTTTACCGTTGTACAGCGACGGTTTGCGAGATGAACCGCTTGATTGGACAAGGCGTTTGACAGCTCAAAATGTTAGCAGTTTTTGAAAATAAAAATGTTTAGGTGTATTGAACTTTTCAATAAATAATTCAATTTTTGTTTTGGTATGCAGTACTAAAAAAATATTTATCAAAATGTGTTTAGACTGTTTCAAAAAATGTTTTAAAATGGCTGTTTTGAGGCGCTTATTCAAAAAATGCAAAAAACCTAGGGTGGACCCTAGACTTTTGAGTCCGAAAAAAGTTAACTGGGGCGAGTCAGCTTCCGCAGCTTTGGGGTTGGGTGTGAAACTGTTGCTGTTGTCGTCTGCTTTTTTTTTTTGGGGGGGATGGAGGCGAGTCAGCTTCCGGGGGTGCGAAGGGGGAAGGGGGCGGGTCAGCTTTGGGGTTGGGTGTGAAACTGTTGCTGTTGTCGTCTGTGTTCTTTTGGGGGGTGTGAAGGGGGAAGGGGGCAAGTCAGCTTCCGGGGCTGCAAAGGGGGAAGGGGGCCAAGTCAGCTTCCGCAGCTTTGGGGTTGGGTGTGAAACTGTTGCTGTTGTCGTTTGTTTTTTTTGGGGGGGGATGGAGGCGAGTCAGCTTCCGGGGGTGCGAAGGGGGAAGGGGGGCGGGTCAGCTTTGGGGTTGGGTGCGAAACTGTTGCTGTTGAAGGGGGCGAGTCAGCTTCCGGGGCTGCGAAGGGGGCGAGTCAGCTTCCGGGAAGGGGGCGAGTCAGCTTCCGCAGCTTTGTTTGGGGTTGGGTGGGCGAGTCAGCTTTGGGGTTGGGTGTGAAACTGTTGCTGTTGTCGTCTGCTTTTTTTTTGGGGGGGGTGTGAAGGGGGAAGGGGGGCGAGTCAGCTTCCGGGGGTGCGAAGGGGGAATGGAGGCGAGTCAGCTTTGGGGTTGGGTGTGAAACTGTTGCTGTCGTCTGTTTTTTTTTGGGGGGGGCGGGGGTGAGTCAGCTTCCGGGGGTGCGAAGGGGACGGGGCTGTTGTCGTCTTCTTCTTTTGGGGGGGCGGGTGCGTGAGTCAGCTTTGGGGTGTGCAAAGGGGAAGGGGCTGTTGTCTCAGCTTTGGGGGGGGCGTGAAGGGGAAAACGAACTAAAAAAACGCGACACTTCCAACGGAGCCTGCTCGAACAGTTTTTTGCGCCAAAAAGCTTGACCCGAAAAGAAGCTGAGCAGGATCAGTCAATTCCGACGGAGCCTGCTCAGCCTCAAAACTGATTTTTTCCGCAAAAACGGCCCGGATCAAATTGTTTTTGCACCAAAAAGGGGCTTCTTCTAGCGTGCCTGAATGCAGGGAGCTTCACAAAAAAGCTAGTCGAGGGCCCTGGGCCTCGGAGGCGCCAGGAAGTCGTCCAGCTGCCTCGCAGCTGCCGGGCCGTCTCGTCAGCCGGCCCGCCGCATTGCCGCTGCCCTGCGGCGCTGGCAGCGGGGGGTTGAGCAGGGTCTCCCGGCCCTCCGTGCTCCGGACGGTCATGGAGTCCACGGCCCGCAGCTGCTGCACGTCGCCGTGCTGAGGGTTGAAGCTCCTCGCCGCGTTCGTCGGCGCTCGGAAGGCGCCCGCGTCCTCCGCCGCCTTGATGCGCCGGTCCGACCTTGTTGTGCTGGAACTTGTCGGCGTTGTCCTGCAGCAGCCGGAACTCGGTGGCCGGCTGCTTCTCCACGTCCTCGGGCGGGCGCGCCGTACACCGTCTCGTGCGGCCGGGCGTTGTAGGCCCCGGCCCGCTCCAAGTGGTCGCTCCACCCTTGCGCGCCAAGCGTCTGGATGCCCCGGGGCCGCTTCGTCCGGTACGGCTTCGGGCAGCTCCCGGTCCAGCGTGGCGAACTCGTTGCCCAGGTCTGTCGTGACCACAAAGTTCTGGTCGTCCCTGCGCGGCGCACTTGGTGGCCCGGCCGGCCGTCTCGGCGTTCTTGTTCTGCAGAGGTTCCACGGCAGCCTCCCGGGTGAAGACGTCCATCACCACCAGGCCGTACCTCGTCTTCCCCCGCGTGTGTTCTGGCTGAAGTCAATGAGGTCGTTCGGCCCCTTGGCGGCCGACTTGCCCAGCGCGCGGGGCCGTGGCGCCTGCACCTGCCGGCTTCAGCGCCTCAAAGGCCGGTCGCGCTGCCTCGCAAGTCGGTGCAGCTTCCGCGGTCGGCCAGGTCCCTCAGCGCCTCCATTTTCAAAGCAACTTTGTTGCCCCAAAAACGGGCTTGCTCAAGGTTCCCTGGATGCAGGGAGGCCTGCTCACAGTTTTTTTCTACTCGTTGCCCCAAAAAGGAGCTGAGCAAGGTTCCTAGCAAGGTTCCTCCAGAACAAGGAGCCTTGCTCACCGTTTTTTTTCACTCGTTCTTCGGCCCGCGCTGGGCCTGCCAGGCTTCCACCTCCAGCCGGGCCTGGAAGCCCTTGCGCACCCCCCACAGCACGCTGGTGAGGTGAGAGTAGTCAAGGGTGACCATCTCCGTGCCGTCGCTCCACCAAACAGTGCCCGTCAGGTTCTTCCACTTCGTTCCTGCGAAGTCGTTTGAGGCGAAGCCCAGCCTCAGTTCCTCGTTCATGTCCGGGCGTTTGTACTGCTTGGCCTCCACGGAGTCAAAGAGCTGCAGCAGCTCTGCCACGTTGGCCTCGGCCATCTCCGTCTTCACCCTGCTGTCCAACAAATTCGTGAAGCTTGTGTTGCAGACCACGTTGCCCGTGTTGCCTGCGACCGCGAGGCAGCCGGGGTTCCTCTGGTTCGTGGTCAAAGACAGCTGCGTCGAGAGGCTCTTCGTCTGCGCCAGCGCCTCGTCGTTGATCATGATCTCACACTGGTGCGTCCCACCATCCCGCTCCAGTCTGGTTGCCCAGCAGCCGCAGCTCCGGGCCGCTGTCGGACGCCGTGCTGTTGTTGGAAATCTGCAGCTTGCTCCAGCCCGCCCAGTTCTTCGTCAAGAAGAGATCGTCCGAGAAGTCTGAGGTGTTGGTCACGGTGAGCGTGTTGGACGCGAAGAGCTGCGGCGCGGAGACCGTGCCCGAGCTCGTCACGTCGCCGCACACCACGCTGCCCGTCGACACTCCGCCGCTCGTGGCCGTGAAGGTGGCTGCAAAGCTCGCCGCGGTTGCTGCGCCTGAGGCCGTCAGCGTGCCCGTGGACACGTCGCCCACCGTGGTGAAGTTCCCGGCGTTGGCCGTGTTGTTGATGGTGAGAGTGCTGCCCGTGATTCCGGTGGCCGAGCTCAGCAGGCCCACGCTGGCTGCCCCGGTGATGCTCAGCGAGCTGCCCGACACGGCGCCTGTGGACGACAGCGTGGCTCCGGACACGGTGCCGGTGGCCGTGAGCGCTGCGCAGGAAATGGCGCCCGAGGCGTCCACGCGTTGCGAACACGTCCGTGCAGTTCACGTCGTTGCACAGCAGCCCCGGTGTCAGGGAGTAGGTGCGGACGATGTTCCAGGCGAAGGCGCATGGCGAAGCTGGCCGAGGCCACGGAGCTCTGGCTATTGGAGCGCAGCAAAAATTTCCAGCGTGGGCTCCAGCAGCACCTCGCCCAGGGTGGCCAGCGTGACGTCGTCGGCCCCTCCGTCAAGGAACTCCTCAACCTCCGTGTTGCCTGCCTCGAGTCCGTAGACGTCCACCGTTCCTGCCGTCTGGTTGGGCAGGCCCGGCGCCTGGAAGTGCGCCCCGAAGTGCAGCTTCGCAGTTCCCGTCGGAGGCACGGTGAAGTACATCTTGGCCGTGCTCCAGGCGCCCTTGTCTCCCGCGAAGCTGCCGTACAAGGGGTCGTAGACGTTGTCGGCCTCGGACATGTACACCACGAAGTTGGAGGCCGTGCCGAGCCGGTACCCGCAGGCGAAGAGGGCAATCCTCGCGGAGCTCGCCGCCCTGCAGCTTTCCGGCAGCGGCGGAGTTGTTAACGCGCCGGCCTGGGCGGGCTTCGCAACTTGGGAGCTCGTTCGCGGAAGCAACGTCGTTCGCAACCTGCATCTGGAGGCTCCTCTCTCTGCTGCGCTGGCCAACGGCGACGACGCGCTGAGCATCACGGCCGACTGCTACTCCATGCTGGCCTACTACACCTCCTTACAAGTGGACGCGCTGTTGGTCGACTACCGGACGGGCACGGCGCAGGACGCGGAGACGACCTACTACACCTTGGCGCAAGTGGACGCCCTGTTGCCATCGCAGGCGCGCTGCTGGCCTACCGGACGGGCCCGGACCAGGATGTTTTCACAACCAACCAAATCACCTCCGCGCTGGTGGCGTACCGCTTGGCCGCCGACCAGGGCACGGCAACGGCCTCAAGCATCGCCGCCGCCCTGCTCAGCTACTACACCATCGCACAAGTGGACGGTCTCCTTGCCGGCAAGCTCGGAGTCACGGAGGCAGCCTTGGCCCTGCAAATAGCCGTGCGCTTTCCGGACGACGGAGGGGCCGACGAGGTGGTGGCCGCCATAGGAGAGCAGATCCTGGGCCCTGTCAAACTGGACGGTTCGCCCCTGCAGCGTGGTCCTGGCCCACACCGCGGGCGCAGCGAGCGTGGACGGCTACACCCTGACCCTGGCAGTGAACCCGTGGAACATTGTGCGCACCTACAACTTGACGCCCCGCTGGCTGAGAGCGGCGTTCGTGGCGTACGAGGCCAGCAGCGTCGCGTCGGCCTTGGCCCCCTGGAGCGCCGTGATGCTGGCGTCACGGCTAGCAAGCTGCGCTGCGACGAAGGCCTCGGTGGCGAGACCCAGCAGGGCATTTGCTATCTTGGTGTCCACCTCCAGCGGCGTGTCCAACCCGTCCACCGTGGAGAGCAGGGCGGCCAGCGCGCTGGCGTCCGCCTTGCCGAGGAGGGCGGCGTCCAGGGCTGCCGCGGTGACTGCGCCCAGGAGGGCCGCCGCTATCTTCGAGGAAGTGTCGACGGGGCCTACGCGGTCAGGGCGCTGGCGTCCGCCTTGGAGGCCTGCAGCCCCGAGATGGAGGTGGCCGCGCACGGAAGCAGCGTTGCTGCAGAGCTCGCTGACCACGGGTCTCTCCAACAAGGCAGACCAATCGGCCTTCAACGTGCTGGAGGGCGTGGTGGCTACGAAGAGCACCTGGACGGCGTGGGCCTGAAGCTGTCCAACTACAGCACCACGGCGGCCATGAACGGCTCCATCGCCTCAGCCAACAACGCCACGCTGGCCACGGTGGCGGCCAACTACGGCCTCAAGACAGTGGTGGACCAGCACTCCCTAGACATAGCGGCGAGGATCACGCCGCTGGAGGTCGACACCAAGGTGGCCAACGCTCTCCTGGGAGTCGTCACCGCTGCAGCGCTGGCCTCCGAGATCGCGAGCCGAGACGCCCTGCCCGTCCGTGGTGGCCAGGGCCGCTGCCGTGGCCAGGGGCGCAATTGCCGGCGCCAGCGCGCGAGCTGCGGTGACCCGGTCGTCCAGCGACTGGATGGCGGCTGCGTTGTTGCCGGAGGCTGCGTGTTCACCGCCAGGTCCGTTACTTGTGCGTAGGGCGTCAGAGCGAGGGCCAGCTGCCCTGCGGTGACGTGCGTGCAGTTTCCTCTCCGTTGTCCTTTTTTTTCCGGGATGTTGCCGGTGACAGGTCCTTCAAACATGTTTTCCTTAGGAGTCGTTGCGCGAAGTCGGCCCTGGAAAAAGCTTCGGAAAACTCTCAAGGTCTGCCGGCTTCCTGCCTCTTCGGGCTTGGTCGGATTGGACGAGGTCTGAAGAGAAGGCGTTGGGACAAAGTTTGCGCAAGTACGCGTCACCCCGTGGCACAGTCCGTGGGTGGCCTTTTTCACGACCTGAAAGCGAGGCCGGCTCCGCGGCTTCGGTCTTGGAGCCCGCACCAGGGCCCGCACCAGGCCCGCACCAGGCCCGCACCAGGCCCGCACCAGGGTTTTTTTGGAAGTACCGTGGCTACAATGATGTGACCGGTGGCGCCGGTCAATCGTGATGAGTCACCTGCGCACGACGCTCGGGGACAGTTCGCCGAAAATTTCGGTGATTTGTCCCGAAATTTTCGCCTCGAGGCCGTCCTCGGGTGGCGCGGGCTCGGCAGGCTGGTGCGCTTGCCGCTACATAGCACGTGCTCGGCTACCAGGACACGAAGTGAAGGAAAATATCCTTCACTTCTGATACCTATAGCCTAATGCAGAAACTATGCACGGCCTGCATAGTTTCACCGGTCAAGTAAAAGCGTGCCACAGTCCTCCCCCTCAGGGAGGACTCAGGGGAGGAATGGATTTTTTTCCTGGGAAGAACGACCTCGGGTGGCGCGGCCGGGCGGCGCACCCCACGCCAGCCCGCCGAGTCAACGCCACGCTGGCCACCGTGGCAGCCAACTACGGCCTCAAGACGGTGGTGGACCAGCGCTCCCTCGACATCGCTGATCACGCCGCTGGAGGTCGACACCAAGGTGGCCAACGCTCTCCTGGGTGTCGCCACTGCTGCAGTGCTTGCCTCCAAGCTCGCAAGCCAAGACGCCTCCATCTCGGGCCTGCAGGCCTCCATGGCGGACGCCAGCGCCCTGCAGTCGGCAGTTGACACTTCTCGAAGATTGCAGCCGCTTTTCTGGACGCAGTCACCACGGCAGCCCTCGTGGCCCTTGCTGGCAAGGCGGACGCAAGCGCGCTGGCTGCCCGAGCCCCCTCAAAAGTGGCGGCTTTGGTTTGGCTGGCTCTCTGGCTCTGGCTTTGACTTTGAAAAAAAGGGCTTTGCCCGGTTTTTGGCTGGCCTGGCTTCGGCTTGGCTGGGTTGGCTTCTGGCTTCTGGCTGGCTTCTTTTTTGTTGTGTTTTTTTTTGGCTCGCCTTGCAGAAGCGCAGCTACGGGCAGATTGAGGGGTCGTGCTGCATTTTGCGTTCAGGAATCTCGGCGGACGAAGCCATCCTATAGTGCGTTTGGAGAAACCCCTCTAAAGAGAGAGGTGCCCGAAGGTTGTCATGATCCTTCATTTTGGACTTATGCCAGCCGACTTTTAGGCGCCGCAGTGCCAAATACTGCTGTGCTAGTAGAGCAATGCTCTAGGATCACCCGGTCTGCCACAAAGCAAATCTGGGCCTCCCAACTCCCAAACTGAAGTTCTGAAAATTCCTCGGCACCGCCGTGCGAAGAATCGATCGAGAATTTAACTCCATGACACTTGCTTGTTTTACCAAGGGGGTTAATAGAGCCTTTTCACAGCTGAAGCCATGCACCGCAGTGCGCCGCTCGCATTAGCTGCCGACTCCAGCACAACCCGGACAGAAAAGGGTGGCGTACCTTTCGTGTCAAGAGTTTGGTTGTAAAGGTTGGAACAGTGCGTGTGTTTTTTAACATGACCGGAGTGCGTGCAGGCATGGAGGTGTGTGAGCCCAGTCATGCAAACTTTGCAGTGCTTGGCAAGCAAGGGTGAATTCATGCCGCGACCCGTGTTTTCGGGCCAGCTTTGGGAAACTCAGGTGCCTTGGCTTTTGGCCTTGGGTCTGAGAAGTCAAAGGTACAAAATGTGGAAGGCCCCCAAAAACAGGGGAACTCTTGGTGGGTCTGCATTTGGTTTCCCCCAAAGTCAAAAGACAGACGCACACAAACACACAGGCGCCCAAGATGTGGAAGGTCTGAAGCACCTTCGTGTTTGACAACGTGCTACAAACACGAGCAATTGAAACCGTTTGTTTTTGTGGTGTGGCACGCCATGTGCGTAGTTGGTATGAAAAGTGCCGATTTTACGGTACAGTTCCTTCCTGGAGATTCCAATGCCGAGGAAGTCCTAGGCATTCTGGTTCTCAAGGCGTTTTAGGCGTTTTGCGGTTTGTTGCGGGCGTTTTGCGGCAATTTGCGGGCGTTTCCTGTTTCTAGGCGTTTGCGGTAATTTGCGGCCGTTTGCGTCCAAAACAGGGTCAATGCCGAGAATGACTAGGAATTCCTTGACGTTTGATAGGGAAGCAAAAGCCCAACACAAATGACAACGTTACGACATGCAGATTCACCGATGTATTGATTGATCAAGTTTTGCCTGGAGAGTCTCCCGCGTTTCGGCCTAGTCGACGCGCATCAGCTCGAACTATTTTCGCCGATTTTCAAAGGACCAGCTGGGCAGCACATGGTAGATGTAAGCAAAACCAGCGCGTTGACCCAGTCTTTTGGGGCAGCGCACACCACCCCTGCTTTTGGACAAAACTTCGAGCTGGCCTCGAAGCCGTGCTGCTCACAGCCGCGCGAAGTTTTGTTCGGAGAGCTGAGCGTGCGGGGCTTACGATGAATTTGTGACCTTGAATTGGTCAGACTTCATTTCAAGGCACGTTGGGGGGGGGTTCTTTGTTTTCTCCAACCCGTCCAGACTCGTTTGGAACCATTTTGAACTCCGCTACCAACTGCTTAAGGGGTGCCCCTGCACTAGGAGACTGAATCCAGGCTGAACGTGTCGTACCTTTTGGAGGCCGGACAAACTTTTAAGACTTTAGAACGACAAATTGTCTCCATCTCCGAACCGTCACCCCATTTATTTCATTTTTTTGGTAAATCCCCCACGGCCGAGGATGGCGTCGAAGCAAGCGAAAGCCGCAGCAGTGGCATGTGCTGGTTTGGGGTGCGGAGCTTATCGCTTGCGGGTTCGGTACATTCCTAGGACCTTGGGACAGGTCCCGACAGAAAGAAACAAAGAAAACATGTTCGTGGTGTTAAGCATCACGTTTTGTTTGACATTTAAATGTGGGCCTGACTTTGATGGGCTGATGTTTTTGGGCTGGACATATGGGGAATGCGGGATACGCGTGTGGCTTTCGGACATTGGCACCCCAGCTGGTGCTTTTGTGCTCTGGACGGAAGAATGCAAGTCGTTTTCTGCAGCTCCGTTCATGGAGGGACCCCTTTGGATGGTTGAAGGAAACTTTTTAGGGACACTTAAGTGCTCTCAAAGGTGTTGTTTTGGTTGGTATCTAGAAGGAAACCAAGAGTAAGCCCTTTTTATTCTTCCTTTTTTGAAATGGACCAATTCCGAGTTTAGCTTGGAAGATATCCCTTGGTGTTTGGCAGGGAAGCAAGGCATTTCCAACAATATCCCCAATATCTTTCACTCCGGTGTCCTAGCAAACAAGGATGCCTCAACAAAGAGAGACAGAGACGCGCATTTTTTCTGGTTGTCCAATGCTCACCCCAAACGGTGGCTTGAATTGGTTTGGGGCTTTTGTTCCCTGGTTCTATTGGGAAATCACCCAACCTCTACATCCAATTCAAACCACCAAATGGGTATGTGTCAAATTAGGTGTATTTCAAAAGTTGGTGGCTTCCTTTCAGTGTAGCACATTTTGGTTTGGCGTGTTTGCGTGTCAAGCCCCTCAAACGCTTTGGCCCCCTCCAGAAACCCTTGTGAAAGGGAGGCTGAACTGAATGGGTGAAAATTATCCACCAGCCCGCAGAATGGTCCAGGGTTCCTTTTGCCAGGGGCCCATTTTTGGGTTTTTCAGCGCCAGCTCCTCCGTGCGCCCATCCGCATCCCAGGCTCGGCTTCGTGCTTCCGGGCGGCGCGCCCGGCGCGCCCGGCGCGCGCGCGGAGCCCGAGAGGAGCGCGGCGCAGGCGCCGCGAAGAAGGAAGCGGAGCTGTGAACGAAGGAATCGGGGCACGCGAAAAAATGTCCTCCTCCAGACTAACATGGAAGCTCCAAAAGGGACCCCTTTGGCAGACTGAGTTCCATTTACAGAGGCCTGCTGGAACAGTGAAATAGGTACCCAAATGGATCCTAGTAAGTGGAAACATGGACCAAAACCTGCGGTCCAATTCCTGGTGGTTTAATTTTGACCCATACCCAAATAAGTGGAATGATCCCCCCTCTCCCCCCCCTTCTTTAGAAAGGGGCTCCGCGTGCGGCCTCTTACAAAGCTTCCAGCTTGCGGCCGTGTGCCAAGCAATTGGTGTTGTTGTTTTTTTGGGGGGAGTATGTTATGGGCAAGTGAAAGGGAAGCATTTTGTGGGGCTGTCCCACTGCTACACGTCATTGCGTTTTGCCTGGCTCAGGAGAGATGTTGAGTTTTTTTTTTTTTTTTTACTGGCACGGCAAGATCATGGCAAGATCACCCTTTAAGCCCGAGACTGAAACCGAGTACATGCGACATTCCCAGCCTACCGCTTGATCCAGATGTTGAAGCTATGGGTTGGGGCTTGGGCTCAAGTTTGCGGTGTGGCGCTTGCAAGGCTTGCAGGGAGCATCGTTTGATCAGCTACTCGTTTTTTGGGAGCTGATTGTGCCAAAATTGCATGTGCACAACGCGCGCTTCGATCTGGGAACAGTTTTTTGGCGTGGACGGGCCAAGCGGCCAAGCCCAGTAGCCCAGTGCAGAGCAAACGCTTGATGACCCAAACTAATCGGTTTGCTTTTGCTTCAGTGCAAAGATGTTTTTGTTTGCCCGTTGTCTTGCGAAGACGGACGGCCCAGGGCGAGCGTCTCTCTTTGTGAAGAAGGGCATACTGTGGCATGTGATCCACAAGCATGGCACGACCGGCTGTTTCGTGTCCGTTTTCACCCGCCGCGGGTGAGCTTCGGACCGTGTCTTGGTCCGGTTCGCGCAGGGAGCCCACACGTCGCCAGGCGGGTGATTGCCTTTCCGAGGGTTTTGGGGCGAAGGCGCGAAGTGTTCGGGTCCCGATGAATCCCCCTTCTGGAAGAAGCGCGAAAAGCACATGAGCGTGATTTTCTTGTTCATGTAGAAACACTTGAGCAACTTGAGCATGTGGTTGACGGCAGCTTGAGCTGCCATGGCATACCCCTGAAACGAGGGCTTTGCATTTCCGACTGACCAACTGTCGTCTCTCTCTTGGAGGTCCAGAATGGCCTGGCAAAACATATGGGTGTTCTTGTCTGAGTTTGGGGGACGCCCCAGGGTGGTTGGTCCCTTTGCGAACTGCAGCGGTCTGTTTCACACATGGGAAGCACCGCAACCATACCAGATAAGACCAATTTCTGCTACCAAGCGTTTGAAGCGTTTGCCAGAGGCAGCGCCTTTACTGTGGGTGCAGCAGCAGCCACAGCCGCCGGGGCAGTGGCTGCTTCCACGCGCAGGAAGCTCCGTGCATCCAAGGCAGGTCAGTCGGAATCATTTGGCGATGGTGGGTGCTCAGGCCACGCGCGCGTGCGTGGGGCTCCATGCGCAGGTCGCTGCCCGTGCGGAAGTTGCGCCGGGCGAGAAGGTTGTGGGCATTGACCTTGGAACCACCAACTCTGCGGTGGCTGCCATGGAGGTCTGCAGCTCAGATGTTGCGCTTCTTGCGTGGAATGCGTTTGGCTTAGTTCTTGCTGCTTGCATGGGATATGCCAAGGATCTGACTCAAACCCTGACAGGCCGGCGCCCCTACAGTCATCCCCAACGCAGAGGGTGCTCGAACCACACCCAGCGTGGTGGCCTACTCCAAGAGCGGCGAGCTGCTGGTGGGGCAGATCGCAAAGCGCCAGGAGCGGCGCACGTGGAGTGATCGGTGCAATTTGCCAAACCACTTTCTTGGTCTGAAAATGGTTGTTCACTTGTTGGATGGTAAAGAGAATCCAAAGTAGGACAACCATTTGTAGGGTCCCTACAAAACAGCTCCCACTTGTTTGAATGGTTTTAAGGAGAGTGCAGGTGCAGAAAATAATCGTGTTGTTTGGTCGGAAGGTGTGCACATGCTATTTTGTGGCAGGCTGTGGTGAATCCGGAGAACACCTTCTACTCCGTGAAGCGCTTTGTTGGCCGCCAGCCCGGTGAAGTGGATTCAGAACTGAAGGAGGTGTCTTACAAGGTGGATTTTGAGGGCCAGAAGGTGAAGATCGACTGCCCTGTGATGAACAAGAAGTTTGCGCCCGAGGAGGTCTCGGCCCAGGTGCTGCGCAAGCTCAGCGCCGATGCTGGCAAGTACCTTAGCGCCACTGTGAACAAGGCAGGGAGTCTGAGACAATGACTTTGAACTTGTGCAGTTTGCTATTTTACAGCATGATGTAATCATGTAAAAGACAAGCATACTTGCTGCAGGCGGTGGTGACAGTCCCGGCCTACTTCAACGACTCCCAGCGCCAGGCGAGCTTCATAGCACTGTTTGCATGCAGCTTGGTGTAGCCTTAAAGCTAAAAGTTGTTTGAAGCAAGGTTAGGAAGCCTTGGCAGTATCTTGGCGTTACTTGAGAGTCCTGCAGGCCACAAAGGATGCTGGAAAGATTGCGGGATTGGACGTGCTGCGAATCGTGAACGAACCCACGGCAGCGTCGCTGGCATATGGCTTGGAGAAGCAGAACAATGAGACGATCTTGGTTTTTGATCTTGGCGGCGGCACCTTTGACGTCTCTGTTCTGGAGGTTGGTGACGGCGTTTGTGAGGTTCTGGCCACAAACGGCGACACCCACTTGGGTGGCGATGACTTTGACAAGGTCATCGTCGACTGGCTTGCGGAGGCGTTTCAGAAGACCGAGGCAGGCAGTTGAAGAAGTTGCATGCGCTTTCCACCGTGCAAAGGCAAGCCAGGTGCACACCGAAACATAAGTCATGCTGGCCCATGTCACGTCAGAGATGCCAGAGCAATCGTGGTGAGGGCATCGACCTGCTGAAGGACAGGCAAGCCTTGCAGCGTCTCACGGAGGCAGCAGAGAAGGCCAAGATGGAGCTCTCAGGAGTCCAGGAGGCAGAGAGAGGGGGGGGGATACAAGCATAGACATAGGTAGAGCGAGAGAGAGAGAGAGAGTGAAACAGAGAGAAAGCGAGAGAGAAAGCGAGAGAGAGAGAGAGAGAGGAGAGAGAGTGAGAGAGCGAGAGAAGATGAGCGCAGAGAGAGAGAGAGAGAGAGAACATAGCGATGCCAAAAACACAAGAAACAGATAGCAACGCAAGCATCAACGGTGATGCCTTGGTGCGGCGGTTAGGCCAAGATTTCGCTTCCCTTCATCACGGCTGATGCTTCTGGCCCCAAGCACATCGAAGAGAGCCTGTCTCGTGCCAAGTTCGAGCAGCTTGCTGGCAAGCTCATCGCGCGATGCAGGCCTGGTGGATGCGAAAGGGCAGGTCTTGCACATGATTTGTTGTGTTGGCGGACGTGCGGAGTGAGGGCGGGACTGCGGCGGAGAGGTTTCAGAAGTGTATTTGGTGAGCATCTCTCGACAACATCTTGCTTATGCATGCCAGCGTTTGTCTTGATGCTATTTTGACTCTTTGCCCCCCAGGACGCCTGTGGAGAGTGCCATGAAGGATGCCAAGCTGACCGCCAAGGACATCGATGAGATTGTGCTGGTTGGCGGCTCCACCAGGATCCCGTCCATCCAGAGCTTGGCTTCGGAGCTGGTGGGTGGCAAGGCGCCCAACCAGAGCGTGAACCCGGACGAAGTTGTGGCCGTGGGAGCGGCCGTGCAGGCTGGTGTGTTGGCCGGAGACGTGAAGGACATTGTGCTGCTGGATGTGACGCCACTGTCGTTGGGTGTGGAGACCTTGGGCGGCGTGGCCACTGTGCTGATCGCCAGGAACACCACCATCCCGACCAAGAAGACCGAGGCCAGAAGACATGGCATAGGCAGCAGAAGTTGTCATGTTTGAAGCGCATGTCGGCCACCGAAGTGTTAAGCAGTTTACATGTCAGGATGTAGGTGAGCTTGGCTTTGGGCCGAGACACATGCCTGACAGGTGTTTTCGACTGCCACGGACTCCCAGCCCTCTGTGGAGATTGTGGTGCTGCAAGGCGAGCGTCAGTTTGCCAAAGACAACAAGATTCTGGGCACATTCCGCCTGGACGGCGTGCCCCCTGCGCCGCGTGGCGTGCCACAGATTGAGGTGACCTTTGACATCGATGCCAACGGCATCCTGAATGTTGGTGCAAAGGACCGGGGCACTGGAAAGGAGCAGACCATCACCATTGCAGGCTCCTCCACCTTGGACAAGACCGACGTGGACAAGATGGTGCAGGATGCTGAGGCCAACGCAGTCGAGGATGAGAAGCGAAAGGAGGCCGTGGAGACCAAGAACAACGCCGAGAGCTTGGTGTACCAGACAGAGAAGCAGCTGCAGGATTTGGGTGAGAAGGTGCCGGCAGACCTGAAGGCCAGCATCGATCCAAAGTTGCAGGCCTTGAAGGACAAGGTTGCGGAGGCAGAACCAGAGACGGAGCTGCTGAAGACCATGACCAAGGATCTGCAGGAGGAGCTCATGAAGGTCGGCCAGGCGGCCTATGCCAACGCGGGTGCAAGCTCTCCTCCACCGGGTGATGCGCCTGATGGAGATGCTGGCTCCCCTCCTCCGGGTGATGCCAAGGATGCCAAGGATGCCAAGGGCAAGGACGACGTCATCGATGTGGACGGCCAGTAAGTTCCCGGCCAACCGCAAAAAGCAGTTTGAGATATCGGAATGTCTAGTTTTCAGGTCGTGATGCAGTTGAGGCTCGCGCCCCTGTTTCTTCGACTTGCTTTCTGATTTTTACCATATGTCTCATGCCATCCTGTCGGGTGTGCACCAATCTTAAGGGTGCCCGAATGGCCTTCGCCGGTACAGACACCCATTGGGTGGTGCAGTCTAGAGTCTGGATCTCACCCAACGCACCGTTTCAGACCCAGTCACATTTTCACAAAAACGGCTTCGCGAAGTCCGCATACGTGAAGCCAAAGGTGACCGGAGGCTCATGTTTAGGTGGTGTAGCAAAGGTTGCACTCGTCAAAATACCATGAGGACATGGGGGTTACTCACCCAAAATCCAATGTCAGTTGGGGAGAAGCAGTAAGAACTCCTGGGGATTTTAAGCAGTGAGAGAATGTGCCGCGAGCATTGTACGCCGATCACAGCATTTTGGGCGGGATTTTGATTTCTGACCGCTCTGCCCCGACCTCAGAATTGCACCGCTGGTGGGAAGCTTCAGCTACGGTGTACAAGAATAGTATGTATATATACATATACAAAGTTAGACAAGCACATCCGATTCCAAAGTTCTTTCCCTTGCCTCATGGGTTGTGTTTCAAAAAGGGGAGCCTGCACGCATCGCACATTGCCCTCACCGGACCCATTTGGCCGCAAGAGTGTGGTTTGGGGGGGGGGGGCAGGTGGTTCTCCCTACAAATTTCAAGAAAGTGAAGCAAAAGCTGCATTCCTCCCAGTGGGTCTGGGTTCCCAACTCTTGGAACCCCTCTTGCCACTTGGGCAAGATGGTGTCCACAGCTCTTGGGCTTGCATTGTCAGATGCCGCCGGGGTTCCTATATTTCCCCTGGTGAATATTATTGACAGCTTGGTGAGGAATTAAATCGGAGATGCCGGTAGCGAAGAAAGTTCACAGGGAAGCACAGGGAACATGTGGCCATTTTCTTGGTAGGACCATTACGTTGAACAAGATCCTTCACCAGTTGGGATGGATGCAACCTTATATACCAACAATTTAATTTGGTGCCGATCGATTCGCGTGGATTTTGTCCACAGAGATGATGAACAACTCCTTTGGTGAACCCTTGATTTTCTCAAGGGGCCCGACATGGTGGACATTTAGCTGCGATTTATGTCCGCCTGCCACTTAGGCAGGCCCCTACTATTCATAGCCATCTCATGGGATGTTGACCGGATTACTACATCCAACATGATTTTGCGAGGAGAGTTCCCCCCATTTTTGTAGCCATTGGAGAGGAACCCATGCTGCGAGGCCTTGAAAGGATGGTGTCGAAGCGAACGGCTTCTGCTGCGGCGGTCGCCGGACTGGGCGGGCCGGCGCCTCAAGTTCTTCGGTCTCCGGGCAATGGGGGCAGGGGCACATGGGGGCTGGAAATAGAAATTGGGACCTCCAGGGTCCAAGATGGTTTTCCTTTGGGTTCCTGGGAAAACCAAAAGTGCCCCAAAAGCAGACACCCACAAAACCAAGCACCCGAATTCCACAATCGTGGTTTTGGCAGTCTGAGGCTGGCTTTTGTGGCCACACCAGGCACGGAGTGAAAGATCGGATGCAGCTTCGCTGGAGTTTGTCGCAGATCGTTAGGTTCAGTGAATCGCTATGCTCCGGAGATGTCATCCACAGCATCAGCCAAGGCCGCTCTTTGTTTGCTCGGGCAGAGGCCAAGCATTCTTAGCATTTGGCAGGCCTCTGCCGAGATGGGTGCCTCGCTTGAAATTTTCAGCACGGGTCCTAGTGGAACATGTCCGCTCCTAAGGCAGCAGCACATTCACCGTGGGTGCAGCAGCAGCCACAGCCGCCGGGGCAGTGGCTGCTTCCACGCGCAGGAAGCTCCGTGCGTCCAAGGCAGGTCAGTCAGAACCATTTGGTGATGGTGGGTGCTCAGGCCACGAGCGCGTGCATGGGGCTCCATGTGCAGGTTGCTGCCCGTGCGGAAGTTGCGCCGGGCGAGAAAGTTGTGGGCATCGACCTTGGAACTACCAACTCTGCGGTGGCTGCTATGGAGGTCTGCAGCTCAAGGGCTGTCGAATGACTGACTTAGTTCTGGTGTGCTGCTTGCATGGGATATGCCAAGGGTCTGACTCAAACCCTGACTGACAGGCTGGCACACCCACAGTGATCCCTAACGCAGAGGGTGCTCGAACCACACCGAGTGTGGTGGCCTACTCCAAGAGCGGTGAGCTTCTGGTGGGGCAAATCGCAAAGCGCCAGGAGCGTCGCATGTGCAGGGACCTGTGTACAAAACAACTCTCACGTCATGTGTCTCTGAAAGCTCATCAAGCTTAGCGAAGAGTTCAAGCCATTTCTCCTGCAAAGGCTGTGGTGAACCCTGAGAACACCTTCTACTCCGTGAAGCGCTTTGTTGGTCGCCAGCCCGGTGAAGTGGATTCAGAACTGAAGGAGGTGTCTTACAAGGTGGATTTTGAGGGCCAGAAGGTGAAGATCGACTGCCCTGTGATGAACAAGAAGTTTGCGCCCGAGGAGGTCTCGGCCCAGGTGTTGCGCAAGCTCAGCGCCGATGCTGGCAAGTATCTTAGCGCCACTGTGAACAAGGCAGGAGTCTGATAGAATGACTTTGAACTTGTGCAGTTTGCCACTTTGCAGCGTGATGTAATAATATAGCAGACAAGCATACTTGCTGGCTGCTGGCTTTAGCTGAGCTACCCACCGCCTCACCAGTTCTTTTGCAGGCGGTGGTGACAGTCCCGGCCTACTTCAACGACTCCCAGCGCCAGGCGAGCTTCATGTCACTGTTTGCATGCAGCTTGGTGTAGCCTCGAAGCTAGAAGTTGTGGAAGCCAAGGTTAGGAAGCCTTGGCAGTGTCTTAGTGTTACTTGCGAGTCCTGCAGGCCACAAAGGATGCTGGAAAGATTGCGGGATTGGACGTGATGCGAATCGTGAACGAACCCACGGCAGCGTCGCTGGCATATGGCTTGGAGAAGAAGAACAATGAGACGATCTTGGTTTTTGATCTTGGCGGCGGCACCTTTGACGTCTCTGTTCTGGAGGTTGGTGACGGCGTTTGTGAGGTTCTGGCCACAAACGGCGACACCCACTTGGGTGGCGATGACTTCGACAAGGTCATCGTCGACTGGCTTGCGGAGGCGTTTCAGAAGACCGAGGCAAGCAGTTGAAGTAGTATACATGCCTTGCAGACACCAAGCCAGGTGGTACCATAAGTCATTCTGGCCCATGTCATGTCAGAGATGTCATGACAATCGTGGTGAGGGCATCGACCTCCTGAAGGACAGGCAAGCCTTGCAGCGTCTCACGGAGGCAGCAGAGAAGGCCAAGATTGAGCTCTCAGGAGTGCAGGAGGCGGAGATACGGTGGGAAGCATAGACACAGATAGAGGGAGAGAGAGAGAGAGAGAGATAGGCATAGCGATGGCCAAAACTCAAGAATCTGATATCAAGGCAACCATTTGCGGCTGTCAGCTGTCAGGCCAAGATCTCGCTTCCCTTCATCACGGCTGATGCTACAGGCCCCAAGCACATCGAAGAGAGCCTGTCTCGTGCCAAGTTCGAGCAGCTTGCTGGCAAGCTCATCGCGCGATGCAGGCCTGGTCCGTTGCAGAGTTGGTTTTGCACATTATTTGTTGTGTTGGTGGGCGCGCGGAGTCCGGGTGGGTCTGCGGCGGAGAGGTCTCTAGACAACATTTTGCTTATGTATTCCAGAGTTTGTCTTGATGCTATTGTGACTCTGTGCCCCCCAGGACGCCTGTGGAGAGTGCCATGAAGGATGCCAAGCTGACCGCCAAGGACATCGATGAGATTGTGCTGGTTGGCGGCTCCACCAGGATCCCGTCCATCCAGAGCTTGGCTTCGGAGCTGGTGGGTGGCAAGGCGCCCAACCAGAGCGTGAACCCGGATGAAGTTGTGGCCGTGGGAGCGGCCGTGCAGGCTGGTGTGTTGGCCGGAGACGTGAAGGACATTGTGCTGCTGGATGTGACGCCACTGTCGTTGGGTGTGGAGACCTTGGGCGGCGTGGCCACTGTGCTGATCGCCAGGAACACCACCATCCCGACCAAGAAGACCGAGGCCAGAAGACATGGCAAAACTGCAGAAGTTTCACGGAGTTTAAAATGACGGGATCCAGGTCAGTGGGGGAGAGTTGTTTGTTGGGACGTGACACGATGCCTGGCAGGTGTTTTCGACTGCCGCGGACTCCCAGCCTTCTGTGGAGATTGTGGTGCTGCAAGGGGAGCGACAGTTTGCCAAGGACAACAAGATTCTGGGCACATTCCGCCTGGACGGCGTGCCCCCTGCGCCGCGTGGCGTGCCACAGATTGAGGTGACCTTTGACATCGATGCCAACGGCATCCTGAATGTTGGTGCAAAGGACCGGGGCACTGGCAAGGAGCAGACCATCACCATTGCGGGCTCCTCCACCTTGGACAAGACCGATGTGGACAAGATGGTGCAGGATGCCGAGGCCAACGCGGTCGAGGATGAGAAGCGAAAGGAGGCCGTGGAGACCAAGAACAACGCCGAGAGCTTGGTGTACCAGACAGAGAAGCAGCTGCAGGATTTGGGTGAGAAGGTGCCGGCAGACCTGAAGGCCAGCATCGATCCAAAGTTGCAGGCCTTGAAGGACAAGGTTGCGGAGGCAGAACCAGAGACGGAGCTGCTGAAGACCATGACCAAGGACCTGCAGGAGGAGCTCATGAAGGTCGGCCAGGCGGCCTATGCCAACGCGGGTGCAAGCTCACCTCCACCCGGTGATGCGCCTGATGGAGATGCCGGCTCCCCTCCTCCGGGTGATGCCAAGGATGCCAAGGGCAAGGACGACGTCATCGATGTGGATGGGCAGTGAGGCATCGATCTGATTCAATCTCCACCTCAGCGTGGGTGCAGCAGTTTATAGCAGTAGAAAGCTTGGCGAGCCCTTCCCAACACGCAGTTTTGCTCAAAACATGGTACAGCAAGCCCCCCTTTTTTTTGCGCGCTTACAGACTGTAGCTGGTTGAGCTCGGTTTCTTGCTATGCATTTTCGGCCCCAAGCTTGATGCTCGCTTTTGGATGTTGTCGAGATCACGCGCCTGGCTTGTCGCAGGGCAACAGGTACAGAGGCTGCGCGAATGCGCAGCAAGCCGGATGCACGACTTCCGATGTGGTGCATCCACTTTTTTTCGAGTCTCCGCTGTGGATCGACGTTAATGTTTCGACATGTTCCGGGCAATGGTCTGGAGCGATAAACAACCCTGGCTGACCAGCCCAACAGACCCCAATTTGCTGTTAGTCAACTGTTAGTCAATGAAAAAGGGCGCCGCTTCCTGCCACGGCTCGAGCCACAATCAAAACCTCGGCAAGTGAAGGTTAGTACGGGAGAGTCCCGAGCATAGAAAGGTGCGGCCGCCCTTTCAATTCTTACATGGGTTTGGGTAGGTTTGATTGTGATTCTCGCAGGCATCAAAACGTGGCTGTTTTTGGCTGAGAGAGCTTGTATCCTGGCAATTTTGGCGGCCTACACCTGTCGTACAAGCCGTCGCCCAAGCCGTTGCAATTTCTTCCTGCCATTTGTTGACCCTACCTGGCTTTGCAGAGCTTGCAGTGTTTTCGGAGCTTTTCGTTGACCTGTTTTGCCAAGCCGATGCAAGGCCAGCAACCATGGTCTCCAAGAAGGCTCGCGCTGCGGCAGCTTGCGCTGGCTTGGGAGGGTTGGCTCCTAAAGCAGGGCAATGGGGTTCTGCATCCCACAAAACAACTGCCAGGTTGTCTCAACATGCCCGCATCTGCTGTGCTGAGGTTGGCTTTCGTTGCCACGCCAGGCACGTTGCGCAATTGCTGAGAACATGCTTTTGTGTGATATGAGACAGCCAGGTTCGGTGAATCGCTATGCCCCAGCAGAAATGGCATCCACCGCCAGCAAGGCCTGCAGCAAAGTTATTTGAGTGTGGTATCAATATGCAGCGCAAAACATGCAAGAGGTAGTCAAGCATTCTTGGCATTTGGCAGGCCTCTGCCGAGATGGGTGCCTCGCTTGAAATTTTCGGCACGGGTCCTGAGTGGAACATGTCCGCCGCTAAGGCAGCAGCGCCTTCACCGTGGGTGCAGCAGCAGCCACAGCCGCCGGGGCAGTGGCTGCTTCCACGCGCAGGAAGCTCCGTGCATCCAAGGCAGGTCTCGGAATCATATTGGCGATGTTGGGAGGGCGCAGGTGGTGGGTGGTCAGGCAACGCTCCATTGCGCAGGTCGCTGCCCGTGCGGAAGTTGCGCCGGGCGAGAAAGTCGTGGGCATCGACCTTGGAACTACCAACTCTGCGGTGGCTGCCATGGAGGTCTGCAGCTTAAGTGATGTTGGCTCTTCCTGACGCACATTTGTTGTGCTTCTTGCGGGGAATGTGACAGGCCGGCGCCCCTACAGTCATCCCCAACGCAGAGGGTGCTCGAACCACACCGAGTGTGGTGGCCTACTCTAAGAGCGGTGAGCTGCTGGTGGGGCAAATCGCAAAGCGCCAGGAGCGTCGCATGTGGAGTGATCAGTGCAATTTGCCCGAACTTTCTTTATCTTAGAATAGGGACACTTGTTGGATGGTTGTAAAGAGCATCCAAAGTAGGACAACCATTTGTAGGGTCCCTACAAAACAACTCCCACGTCATGTCGTGTCTCTCCAAGCTCATTAAGCATAGCGAAAACTTTAAACGATTTCTCCTGCACAGGCAGTGGTGAACCCTGAGAACACCTTCTACTCCGTGAAGCGCTTTGTTGGCCGCCAGCCCGGTGAAGTGGATTCAGAACTGAAGGAGGTGTCTTACAGGGTGGATTTTGAGGGCCAGAAGGTGAAGATCGACTGCCCTGTGATGAACAAGAAGTTTGCGCCCGAGGAGGTCTCGGCCCAGGTGTTGCGCAAGCTCAGCGCCGATGCTGGCAAGTATCTTAGCGCCACTGTGAACAAGGCAGGGAGTCTGAGACAATGACTTTGAGCTTCAGCATGATGTACTAATGTAACAGACAAGCATATTTGCTGGCTGGATGCTGGCTTGAGCTGCGCACACATTCTTTGGCAGGCGGTGGTGACAGTCCCGGCCTACTTCAACGACTCCCAGCGCCAGGCGAGCTTCATGTCACTGTTTGCATGCAGCTCTGTGTAGAATTGAAGCTAAAAGTTGTTTGAAGCAAGGTTAGGAAGCCTTGGCAGTATCTTGGCGTTACTTGAGAGTCCTGCAGGCCACAAAGGATGCTGGAAAGATTGCGGGATTGGACGTGCTGCGAATCGTGAACGAACCCACGGCAGCGTCGCTGGCATATGGCTTGGAGAAGAAGAACAATGAGACGATCTTGGTTTTTGATCTTGGCGGCGGCACCTTTGACGTCTCTGTTCTGGAGGTTGGTGACGGCGTTTGTGAGGTTCTGGCCACAAACGGCGACACCCACTTGGGTGGCGACGACTTCGACAAGGTCATCGTCGACTGGCTTGCAGAGGCGTTTCAGAAGACTGAGGCAGGCAGTTGAAGAAGTAATATTCATGCGTATTTTCCACCTTGTAGAGGCAAGCCAGGTGCAGACCGTGACATAAGTCATGCTGGCCCATGTCATGTCAGAGATGCCACGAGAATCGTGGTGAGGGCATCGACCTCCTGAAGGACAGGCAAGCCTTGCAGCGTCTCACGGAGGCAGCAGAGAAGGCCAAGATTGAGCTCTCAGGAGTGCAGGAGGCTGAGAGACAGTGGGAAGAGATAAACAGAGAAGCATCGACAAAGCAAGAGAAATGAGGAGACAAAAGAGGGGAGACTCTCTCTCTCTCTCTCAAAAAGGAGGGAGAGAGTGAGAAATATAGCAAATATGGCGATCCGTTTGCTGCTGCCAGGCCAAGATCTCGCTTCCCTTCATCACGGCTGATGCTACAGGCCCCAAGCACATCGAAGAGAGCCTGTCTCGTGCCAAGTTCGAGCAGCTTGCTGGCAAGCTCATCGCGCGATGCAGGCCTGGTCCGTTGCAGAGTTGGTTTTGCACATTATTTGTTGTGTTGGTGGGCGCGTGGAGTCCGGGTGGGTCTGCGGCGGAGAGGTCTCTAGACAACATCTTGCTTATGTATTCCAGAGTTTGTCTTGATGCTATTGTGACTCTGTGCCCCCCCAGGACGCCTGTGGAGAGTGCCATGAAGGATGCCAAGCTGACCGCAAAGGACATCGATGAGATTGTGCTGGTTGGCGGCTCCACCAGGATCCCATCCATCCAGAGCTTGGCTTCGGAGCTGGTGGGTGGCAAGGCGCCCAACCAGAGCGTGAACCCGGATGAAGTTGTGGCTGTGGGAGCAGCCGTGCAGGCTGGTGTGTTGGCAGGAGACGTGAAGGACATTGTGCTGCTAGATGTGACGCCACTGTCGTTGGGTGTGGAGACCCTGGGCGGTGTGGCCACCGTGCTGATCGCCAGGAACACCACCATCCCGACCAAGAAGACCGAGGCCAGAAGACATGGCAAAACTGCAGAAGTTTCACGGAGTTTAAAATGACGGGATCCAGGTCAGTGGGGGAGAGTTGTTTGTTGGGAAGTGGCACGATGCCTGACAGGTGTTTTCGACTGCCACGGACTCCCAGCCCTCTGTGGAGATTGTGGTGCTGCAAGGCGAGCGTCAGTTTGCCAAGGACAACAAGATTCTGGGCACATTCCGCCTGGACGGCGTGCCCCCTGCGCCGCGTGGCGTGCCACAGATTGAGGTGACCTTTGACATCGATGCCAACGGCATCCTGAATGTTGGTGCAAAGGATCGGGGCACTGGCAAGGAGCAGACCATCACCATTGCGGGCTCCTCCACCTTGGACAAGACCGATGTGGACAAGATGGTGCAGGATGCCGAGGCCAACGCGGTCGAGGATGAGAAGCGAAAGGAGGCCGTGGAGACCAAGAACAACGCCGAGAGCTTGGTGTACCAGACAGAGAAGCAGCTGCAGGATCTGGGTGAGAAGGTGCCGGCAGACCTGAAAGCCAGCATCGATCCAAAGTTGCAGGCCTTGAAGGACAAGGTTGCGGAGGCAGAACCAGAGACGGAGCTGCTGAAGACCATGACCAAGGACCTGCAGGAGGAGCTCATGAAGGTCGGCCAGGCGGCCTATGCCAACGCAGGTGCAAGCTCACCTCCACCCGGTGATGCGCCTGATGGAGATGCCGGCTCCCCTCCTCCGGGTGATGCCAAGGATGCCAAGGGCAAGGATGACGTCATCGATGTGGATGGGCAGTGAGGCATCGACCTCGTCCCTTTCCGTAAGGCGGTGGGTGCAGCAGTTTATAGCAGTAGTCAGCTTGAGAACGCTTTTTGACCTTTTGCCGGACGAGCGGTTTTTGGTTTAATCCAAGCTTGATTATTGAGAGGCGGCTTGTCGCAGCCCGGCTGCAACGAGCCGTTTCCAGTCTGGAGCTGACTTGGGTGCAGAAGTGGGCGCGAATGCGCACCATGGTTTGATGCACACTGCGTGCGTCCATTTTTTCTCAAAGTCTCTGCTGTGGATTGACGCTAATGTTTCTCATGTTTCAGGCAACGGTCCGAAACGGCATACAGAACCATGGCTGAGCAGCCTAACAGACCCCAATTTGCTGTTAGTCGAAAAGAAGGCAGCCTTGTGTCGTTGGTGGCTTGTCGTTGCCAAAGCACAGACAGGTGTGCAATCGTGGCTGGCTGTTTTTGGCTGAGAGAGCTTGCATGCTGGCGATTTTGGCGGCCTACACCTGTCGTACAAGCCATCGCCCAAGCAGCTGCACTTCTTTCCATCATTGGTTGACCCTGGCAAAGCTAGGCCTTCCTTTTCTTCTGAGCTTGCCTTTTTCGCACAGGTTGCCGGCGTTGTCAAGTTTTGGTTGACCAGGTTTTGCCAAGCCGATGCAAGGCCAGCAACCATGGTCTCCAAGAAGGCTCGCGCTGCGGCAGCTTGCGCTGGCTTGGGAGGGTTGGCTCCTAAAGCAGGGCAATGGGGTTCTGCATCCCACAAAACAACTGCCAGGTTGTCTCAACATGCCCGCATCTGCTGTGCTGAGGTTGGCTTTCGTTGCCACGCCAGGCACGTTGCGCAATTTCTGAGAACATGCTTTTGTGTGATATGAGACAGCCAGGTTCGGTGAATCGCTATGCCGCAGCAGAAATGGCATCCACCGCCAGCAAGGCCTGCAGTAAAGTTATTTGAGTGTGGTATCAATATGCAGCGCAAAACAAGTAAGAGGTAGTCAAGCATTCTTGGCATTTGGCAGGCCTCTGCCGAGATGGGTGCCTCGCTTGAAATTTTCGGCACGGGTCCTGAGTGGAACATGTCCGCCGCTAAGGCAGCAGCGCCTTCACCGTGGGTGCAGCAGCAGCCACAGCCGCCGGGGCAGTGGCTGCTTCCACGCGCAGGAAGCTCCGTGCATCCAAGGCAGGTCTCGGAATCATATTGGCGATGTTGGGAGGGCGCAGGTGGTGGGTGGTCAGGCAACGCTCCATTGCGCAGGTCGCTGCCCGTGCGGAAGTTGCGCCGGGCGAGAAAGTCGTGGGCATTGACCTTGGAACCACCAACTCTGCCGTGGCTGCCATGGAGGTCTGCGGCTCAAGGGATGTTGGCTCTTCCTGACGCACATTTGTTGTGCTTCTTGCGGGGAATGTGACAGGCCGGCGCCCCTACAGTCATCCCCAACGCAGAGGGTGCCCGAACCACACCGAGTGTGGTGGCCTACTCCAAGAGCGGTGAGCTGCTGGTGGGGCAAATCGCAAAGCGCCAGGAGCGTCGCATGTGGAGAGATCAGTGCAATTTGCCCGAACTTTCTTTATCTTAGAATAGGGACACTTGTTGGATGGTTGTAAAGAGCATCCAAAGTAGGACAACCATTTGTAGGGTCCCTACAAAACAACTCCCACGTCATGTCGTGTCTCTCCAAGCTCATGAAGCATAGCGAAAACTTTAAACGATTTCTCCTGCACAGGCAGTGGTGAACCCTGAGAACACCTTCTACTCCGTGAAGCGCTTTGTTGGCCGCCAGCCCGGTGAAGTGGATTCAGAACTGAAGGAGGTGTCTTACAGGGTGGATTTTGAGGGCCAGAAGGTGAAGATCGACTGCCCTGTGATGAACAAGAAGTTTGCGCCCGAGGAGGTCTCGGCCCAGGTGTTGCGCAAGCTCAGCGCCGATGCTGGCAAGTATCTTAGCGCCACTGTGAACAAGGCAGGGAGTCTGAGACAATGACTTTGAGCTTCAGCATGATGTACTAATGTAACAGACAAGCATATTTGCTGGCTGGATGCTGGCTTGAGCTGCGCACACATTCTTTGGCAGGCGGTGGTGACAGTCCCGGCCTACTTCAACGACTCCCAGCGCCAGGCGAGCTTCATGTCACCGTTTGCATGCAGCTCTGTGTAGAATTGAAGCTAAAAGTTGTTTGAAGCAAGGTTAGGAAGCCTTGGCAGTATCTTGGCGTTACTTGAGAGTCCTGCAGGCCACAAAGGATGCTGGAAAGATTGCGGGATTGGACGTGCTGCGAATCGTGAACGAACCCACGGCAGCGTCGCTGGCATATGGCTTGGAGAAGAAGGACAATGAGACGATCTTGGTGTTTGATCTTGGCGGCGGCACCTTCGACGTGTCTGTTCTGGAGGTTGGTGACGGCGTTTGTGAGGTTCTGGCCACAAACGGCGACACCCACTTGGGTGGCGATGACTTCGACAAGGTCATCGTCGACTGGCTTGCAGAGGCGTTTCAGAAGACCGAGGCAGGCAGTTGAAGAAGTCATATTCATGCGTATTTTCCACCTTGTAGAGGCAAGCCAGGTGCAGACCGTGACATAAGTCATGCTGGCCCATGTCATGTCAGAGATGCCACGAGAATCGTGGTGAGGGCATCGACCTCCTGAAGGACAGGCAAGCCTTGCAGCGTCTCACGGAGGCAGCAGAGAAGGCCAAGATTGAGCTCTCAGGAGTGCAGGAGGCGGAGAGACGGTGGGGGGAAGAGATAAACAGAGAAGCATCGACAAAGCAAGAGAAATGAGGAGACAAAAGAGGGGAGACTCTCTCTCTCTCTCTCTCAAAAAGGAGGGAGAGAGTGAGAAATATAGCAAATATGGCGATCCGTTTGCTGCTGCCAGGCCAAGATCTCGCTTCCCTTCATCACTGCTGATGCTACAGGCCCCAAGCACATCGAAGAGAGCCTGTCTCGTGCCAAGTTCGAGCAGCTTGCCGGCAAGCTCATCGCGCGATGCAGGCCTGGTAGATGTGAAAGGGCTGTGTTTGAGAGAAGGGGCAAACACATGGGTATGGGTCAAATGATTCACCACCAGGACACCAGGCCGCCGCAGGTGTTTTTTTTGATTCCATTTGCCGACCGGGTCCGTGTCTTTTGGACGACACATAGGGAGAAGTCCCTTTTTGGTTGTGCTTCTCGCCGCTAGGAGTAGTTTGGGAAGCAGTTTACCACACGCGATTTGTGGAAGTGCAAGGTTTCCTTGTTGCCTTGCCTGCTCTGCCTTTTCCACTGTGGGAGAAATCATCCCCTGGTAGTGTAGAAACCCTTTCAAGGTTTCAAGGGAGGCTGCTCATTTCAGTGGAAAAGGCAAACCAGAAGCAGTGTCCGTATGCAGCTTGGCAGCCCTATTCAGGACGCCTGTGGAGAGTGCCATGAAGGATGCCAAGCTGACGGCAAAGGACATTGATGAGATTGTGCTAGTTGGTGGCTCCACCAGGATCCCATCCATCCAGAGCTTGGCTTCGGAGCTGGTGGGTGGCAAGGCGCCCAACCAGAGCGTGAACCCGGATGAAGTTGTGGCTGTGGGAGCAGCCGTGCAGGCTGGTGTGTTGGCAGGAGACGTGAAGGACATTGTGCTGCTAGATGTGACGCCTCTGTCATTGGGTGTGGAGACCCTGGGCGGTGTGGCCACCGTGCTGATCGCCAGGAACACCACCATCCCGACCAAGAAGACCGAGGCCAGAAGACATGGCAAAACTGCAGAAGTTTCACGGAGTTTAAAATGACGGGATCCAGGTCAGTGGGGGAGAGTTGTTTGTTGGGAAGTGGCACGATGCCTGACAGGTGTTTTCGACTGCCACGGACTCCCAGCCCTCTGTGGAGATTGTGGTGCTGCAAGGCGAGCGTCAGTTTGCCAAGGACAACAAGATTCTGGGCACATTCCGCCTGGACGGCGTGCCCCCTGCGCCGCGTGGCGTGCCACAGATTGAGGTGACCTTTGACATCGATGCCAACGGCATCCTGAATGTTGGTGCAAAGGATCGGGGCACTGGCAAGGAGCAGACCATCACCATTGCGGGCTCCTCCACCTTGGACAAGACCGATGTGGACAAGATGGTGCAGGATGCCGAGGCCAACGCAGTCGAGGATGAGAAGCGAAAGGAGGCCGTGGAGACCAAGAACAACGCCGAGAGCTTGGTGTACCAGACAGAGAAGCAGCTGCAGGATCTGGGTGAGAAGGTGCCGGCAGACCTGAAGGCCAGCATCGATCCAAAGTTGCAGGCCTTGAAGGACAAGGTTGCGGAGGCAGAACCAGAGACGGAGCTGCTGAAGACCATGACCAAGGATCTGCAGGAGGAGCTCATGAAGGTCGGCCAGGCGGCCTATGCCAACGCAGGTGCAAGCTCACCTCCACCCGGTGATGCGCCTGATGGAGATGCCGGCTCCCCTCCTCCGGGTGATGCCAAGGATGCCAAGGGCAAGGATGACGTCATCGATGTTGACGGACAGTAAGCCGCCCACTTTCGGCACGTCAAACCACATCTTTCTGGAGGTCGGGTACAATCTTTTGAAGACCACGTGAGTTTGACTGCCCCACTTAAGCCTCCATGTCAACCCCGGATTAATCAACCTCTGGGATGAGACGAAGTCTTCCCCCGAAAACTGATTCAGTTCCCTCTGCATTTCGACAGGATGACAAGCAACAAGGGGGTTTCGTTAATCCGGCCCATCACCAATGGACTAGTTGAGCTTCGCAGCTCTCAACTCTTGAAATCTCACCCGACCCAGGCGTTGCGTTTTGACCCCTGTGCAACTCGCGCTCGGGGTTGCTCCGAGCTTGAGGTTTTCCTCAGGGTTTCAAGGAGGTTCCTAAACAAACCAATCCCAGAGCACCGGCCCATTTTGCAGGGGTTCCTATGTTTCCCTTTTCGCTGGGTTTGGCTCCATCAATTTGCCCATTTAAGGTGAGCTTCCCTTCATGCAGGGGCCATGTTCAAAACCTGGCAGTGGATGGTTCTGACCAAACATGGCTTGACAGAGCCCC